GGAAGGGTAGTGGAGAAGAGACAAATAGACTCATATAAAACTTAATTGCTACCCATGAAAAATTGAGTTTGCGTCGCTCATCCCCAAATACCTTATTTCAAGAGGCTTGTTTTTACTTGCACTAATTTCCAAGAGATTTTTCTAGAAAGACGAATATGTCAATCGATGAAATGTATTTAAGTTTTCCATTCTTCGACCAATTCTCATAAAAAAAAGAGCGAATAGGGTGTCTTTGTGTGAAAGTTCTGCAGCATATTGCCTTTGGAAAATCAAGCCGCTTCTCCAATTCTGTGAATAAAGAGTTTTAGTTTGATGCTCAGATCTTTGATTTTGATTAGCTTGGTTGACATTCAAATATTGTTTTAGATTTCTACATCATTAGAAAATCTTCACCAAAACATTCTTGAATTCGGTGCTATTTTATTTTTTTTTTTAAATGAAATTCGTGTCGTTCACCATCATAATTCTCAGTGAAATGAAACTATTATAAAGTTTATTTCATTCAATATGGGTTGTAATGGGACTATTTTACATGTAAGAGCTATTGCAATCACAACTATTGATTGCATGCATATGCAGAGCATCTACAAGTAGATCATTCTTGAAATCAATTTCTGGTCATTGAAAATGTCTCCTTTCATGTTTCGTCGTATTTTCTTGTTCGTAGTTACTGTTGACTTTCAATTGTATCGTTACTCTAATAATGTTAGAAATCAAATATACTTACATGCTAAATAATACTGAAGTGTGAGGCGTTCTTTTTGTATTTGTAATCGATTTTGCTTTGTATTTATCGTTGAAGATATTACATGGTTTCTTTCCCACTCATGTATGTTTACGTGAGTCAATCGAGCATTACATTTTCGTCAGGTAGACAGATTTTTTTTCATCAATACGCTCGTCATCGTATATATTTTGTTCATTTAATATTCTTGCTCTTTTTTTTGCTGTTCTGTGCGTTTTTTGTATTGTTAGGATGAGAAAATATACACTCATATTGACATTCACGTGCGAATTACACTTGAATTATAAAAATTTTCACTTTTGTGTGAACGAAACATTAGGTTTTTAGTCTTGATATAAGAATGGTGAGAGCAGTGCTTTGTTTAATATCGGATATCTTCATGATCAAGACTCTTTCTATCGTTTGCATAAGAATCTTGTTTCTCAGAAGAATCAATCGACAGGATTTCACTTTGAAGCTCAATCAAAACTGATCATTATGGATGATTTTTGACATTTTCTTTCGTTTTTTCTCTCTTGGTAGATGTGATTTGTTAAATCATTAACGTTTTGCCTTTGTTCAAAATATATTTTTGAATGTATGGGTATTATTTGTTGTTAAAAATTGCATTATTTCACTTTACACAGTTACAAATAGCTGAGGTCACTGCAAGTCTTCTTTTGTCAGGTCAGATAAGATAATTTGTATCAATCTTTCTATAAAAGTATTGAGTTGAATGCAATAATAGAATCTTCCTACAATATCTGTTTTCCCAAAAAACTATACTAAAATCTTTTTGTTGTTTTTTGTATTTCTCTTACTATAATTCATTTAGTTTTAAACATCTTATACATAGTAAGAGAGCACGAAATGCTCTTCATCTTAAAGTATATTAACTTTAAACAATAAGTAAACTTGAAAGGATTAAGAAAAAGCTACCCTCAACCACAAACACACTCTTAACTAATATATTAAAATTTTTAAACGTTCGCGGTCTCAATAAAGAAAAATATCATCCCATTACATAATAATATTTCGATTATTGGGTAAATTACTTTGTTAAACAATATAAGTATTTGAATTAATTGATTTTTTTTCTAAAGAATAGTCTAAAATTGTTAAAAGAAAAATTTGTTTAATAGAACTGTGTCATACTATTTCGAATAAACTACGTAATCTCTTTATAGAACAGGCGGCGGAACGTCTTAAATCCAAGTGAGGTTCATAGTGTTTTCTCCTTTCGTATCGAAGTTCGATCGTCAAACTTGTACTAAAGTGGCATATCAACTCTTTATTTTTACTTCAGTCAGTCAATAAAATCAACGAATAAAAAGAAACGAATATGATTAAAAAGCACCAAGGAAGCGTTTTCAGTTTGTTGATGTATGCAAAAAAAAAATACAATATTTATAATAATTTCTCCAATAGCTGGTCAAAAACATGTGGGTGTGGGTGGCGGTGTGAGTGTGTATGGGTGTTTCTAGTTGAAAGGAATACCGACATCCACATCCACACCCACATCCTTTTTAAAACATTACAATAGAATTCTGTATCAATTCATAGTCTTAAATTTGTTCATTTCCATTTTTATTATTCATCAATATTAGACGCTATTTCATTGTATTTTCTTGTGGAATGACATGAATTTCATAAAACATTTTTGTTAGATTTAAAAAGATAATTGATTATTTTATTATGAATCTTTATCATTGTTACTCAGATTGTTCAATGTATTGATTTTACTGATTCTGTAAATTCTTTTTAATTCCTATCAAGTTTGATGTGAGAATCTTATAAAACGAATAAATTTGTTTCAAATAAAATATATCAATATAAAAAGAGTTCTTTCTATAATATTGATTTTGTTATATAATAATTAATTCTTATTTGATTAATTTTATTTTAGACTTATGATTATATTAACATAATTCACTGTACTTTATATAAATTTGGATCTTAACAATATAGAAAAGTGCCATTAATTATCTATATCTATGATGTCAACGAAAAATGTATTTTCATCCATTCTTTGGTATTACTATTTGTCGCTGCTATACAATTGCGTCATCTATTTATTCTTGAAAATATTCAAAAATCAGTTTTTATGCGTCGAGAACCAAATGCGACAGATGTTGATTACCATATGTATACTAATATTCCATATGAAGATTGTCGATGTAATGTTGTATCTATCGAATCATGTCTTACTGATTTACAACTTAAATATTCTCGTATTCTTCCATTAATATTATTCCTATTAGAAATTTATATTGGATTGCTTCGATATTTTTCTTTTGGTTTTTAATAATTATTTATCGAGGTAGTCATCATTATGGTCTAATTGCTTTTATTCTTTCTTATTTAGGTATGATATTATATTTTTGTTGTGCAGCATCAAAAGTTATTTCTTAATTAATCGTATTATACTTTTATACTCTAATGAAAGAACTGAAAGAATCGATCAGATTATTTCATTTTCAAGAGAAATAATTCGTTTTATTAATGTAGATTCGCTTTTTCTAAAATGAGTTATTTGTTTTCGTTTGATTCTGTTAATTGTGTGTATAGTATAAGGTTATTATGATGTGTTCAAAGTTTCGAACATATATTTTAAAATTAGAAAGCTATATTCAAATATGTTCAGAGAGCTTTTTCTTTTTGTTGCTTATCACTATTACATAAGATACATGAAGGATATAGAACTAAGAACTAAAAAGTTTCTCTTATATCAATATACTCAAGTAGAACTTCTATTACCAAGTCAATGTCTGGATACTTCGTATGTATATCGCTGGAAAATAAGTTATTAAAGTGAGCTATCAACATATCTTTATTCATTGATAATATTTATATTGAAAATTGTTTTTATTTTTTTATTTCAAAAAGAACATACACAACTGAATGACAATTTCAATAATTGTACACGTAAATTTTACAATCATTTTACTTTACTTATAAGACATCTTCGAATTTCGTCTGTATACTGAATCATAGTCAAATACCTCTTATTTATGTGAGGAAAGATTAACTAGAGACTTATTGGGCTTTTAAGAGAGCTTTTCATAACAAGAAAATAGAGAACTATCATTTTTATTCATGAAGAATAGAGATAGCTATGAATCGAATCATGTATTCGAGAATCCTCCATAGATCTTTTTTGAAAATAAATCTATTTCAAGAGGTACACACCCGCAATACAAATAGAAATGTTCCATCGATATTCTCATTGGGTGTGGGTGCGGGTGAATGTGGGTGGGATGGATTTTGTCTTCAGTCACCGACACCCACACCTCACAGCCACGCCCACCCACACTCGGAAGTTTGTATTCATAAATTGCCTTAGTTCTATCTATCAAATCTTATTCTTACAGTCATTGTGTATGAATTTCACATTTAAAACCTTGTAGGAGTTTCACTGAGAACCTTTCTTTTGCTTTGAGAAAAGTCGATTGTTATTCAAAATCAATTCATAAATCTTAAAATCAACATGTGTCTAGTGTAAATAAATCAGAATATTAGACTACAGATTTATTGGAAAGATGAAAAAAACAACTAATTCACAGTGGAAAGTTTAAGCAAAAATTCTGTTTATCGAAAAAATAAGTATGACTGCTACTAGCCAGAGACTGGGGTGTCAATGGTTGAGCTACTCAATTGATGGAAGCGATGTTTGACTTATAAGATCGAATGAATTTCTTTTTTGAACAACGATGATATCATTCATCGATAGAAATAAATCGCATTGAAAAATTCCACTCGTTTAATTATCACAACTATCAATTTCACACTATGTTTTCTGTGATTCATGCAACTCAATATTGTTTACAATAGAAAATATTCTGTTGTACTCTCACTTTATGGCTAAGCAAGACGTATGATTCATCATTTTGTATTGTGGCATGAATGTCTACGCAATTTGTTTTCTTCGTCTCTTACGCACGTGTTGTGCAATTCTATTCTTATTCTAACGCAATCATAGAAAGTAAGGTAAATATATTACAAACCAAGCACAACTTTGACTGACGCGATATTCTCACTCAAGTTTTATCTTTTGACCAACGATAATGTTAACTGATACAGGAATGATCTTGCCGAATTTTACCGAATTACGTATTTATCCATCGTTTACGGAAATTCGTCAACAATACAATGCACCCAAAGTAAGTTTTGTTGGTTGAATGAACTAAGCTAAAACAAGTTTTGTTTCATTGATATAGAATTTCAACATGTATTTCTCACGGGACGTATTTGCAAATATTGTTCGAGGTTCATTGTCGATCGAAGGTATTCCGATTGAATCGAAACAAGTCGTTCCCAAAGCAAGCAATCTTGAAAATCAAACGATATTTGTTCGACGCCACTCAAACGAAGAACCTCAAGAATGTCGTGTTATTCAAGCTGATGATCTTCTCTTACAAGATATCAAAACAAAACGATATTTTCGTGCTCAACGACACGAACTCGAATATGTTACTATTCCGGAACAGGAAGGAACTGAAGTGACATATGTTTTAAAACAACAAGGCAAAGCAACATTGAGCTATCAAATTCATGGTAAGTCACATGGATGATCGAATGGGATAAATATTTGTTTAAAAATGCTTCTAGATGGTAATCTGAAACTAATTTTGATCGAGTGTTAAGCTAATTACGAAAGAAATCAGATAGGAAAATGAGTTTTGATTTAAGTTTGGCCGATTCGAAAATAAAGGAATCCAGTTTTCAGACATTGTCAGATTTCTTTCGATGTTTGTCTCTTAAAGGCAGTTTCCCTTTCTCAAGCCAAAATGTTAGGCTTTTTTAAATGTTCTTATCTAATGATTAAGATGTTCTCTACATGTTGACCATGATAGCATCATTATCTGTCGCAATTTCTAGTTTCCTAGTTCGATTCGAAAGAGTATCTATGAGATAGGATAGCCAAAGTCGGACAAAACTTGTGATCCTACTAAATTGAATATGATTATGGTTGATCGCAACAATTAGTCACCAATAGAAAAACTGGAAAAAATCAAGTTTTGTATCTCGATTTATGTCGAAAGTGAAGTTGAACAACAATCCATGTTGTTTACGCAATACCATTCGGTTTACTACTATTGATAACTTCTGTGAAAGCTGCAAGAAAGATTGCCAAGCTTGTAGACACCACGCTTTACACGCTTTGATCTTGTCAAAAAAGTGCGTTTTTAAATGGTACTTTTCGTAATTGTTCTTATCTCTTTGATAATTGAGTCAAAAAAGAAACTAAGAAAAACAGTCATCCACAATGCTCCCAAATACTTGAGAAAAAAGTTTTAGCTTAAGCAGTGAATGTATTCTGATAGAATTGAGGGACATAAGTATAACCAGTTTTACTACTTGCCTCATCTATATTTACCTGAAGGAAGCATTAGATCTTCTTGAGTCTAGCACGACTGTTGCTTTACTAGTCAAGATCTATATAGGTTGAAAGTTTCAGAATTTATTGTTTAGCCGTTCTCGAAACACATCGCGAAAACTCTTCGGAATGAAAAACCTTGCCTGTAACCTTTCAAGCGTAAATCAATTTTTGAAGAATAACTTAGCTGAAATCTCTTGTTATGACATAAGTGCTTATTCAATGCAGCTTCACAGAAAGCAATCGCGTTTTAAAGAGAAATCCTATTTATTCATATAAAAAAATCTCAAGTCGAGATCGACTCTAATTTGTATCGTTGATAATCAAAGAACACTGTCAAACGATATGACATAGTTCATTTTCATGTAATACCTCATTGTTTGTTGATATTTATAAGGTATCTCTTGGTTGCCACAGTACGATTTGAATATTCTATCTGATGATTGTCGACACACATTTCAAGCTTTTGCCGAAATTACGAATGGAACAAAACAAGAATACAGAATCAATCGAACAGAATTGTTCGGTGGTGATGTGTGCTTACAAAGAGAAGTCGGAGCTAAACGACGTCGTGATCGATCCAGGAGTAGAAGCAGAAGTTTAAGTGAGAACTCTGACGACGATGAAGAAGAATTTGACTCTTGCGATATGACACCGACTATCGATGTACTAGGAGAACTAGCAGGTAAGCTTCATTTCTGTAGATATTGTATTGTCTAATTTTTTTTTAACGCACTGTGCCTAATAGGTCTTTATCTCTATTCAATCGATCAACCGTTTGTTCTCTTGCCAAAGTCGACATTTGGTTTGCCATTCATCAATGCGACAATTCAAATAAGTAAATGTGTCGGTCTAACACTTCCATTTACTAGTCACACGCAAATACGAAAGTTGCAACGAAAATATTGTATTGAATCGATTGATAAATTTCTTCCTAGTGGATCACTAACTATTCGAGAGCAGAGTCGCTTAGTCGGAGTAACGACTTTGCCTGACATGTCTGTGGGTGAGAAATACACTCTCAGCTCTGGGCAAGATCCTGATGTGAGTTCATTGTTTTCTTTTTATCTATGTACACAAATATCTTGTCGTTTAGGTTTCATTAAATCGACAAGTAAAATTAATTTCGAAAGAAAGACACTCAGCTATGTACGCCGTTCATCTAACATTCAAAAATGCCAAGTCGACACCTGTGAAATTCGAATACAAGGAAATAATTGATAATGAAAATGCACAATTCAAAATTATCCTCAAAGGATCCGATGATCAACGAGCCCAAATTCAGGTGATTGCGAATGGTGTTCAAATAGAAAATAAAAATAACTCAAACGATCATCATGGTATGTTGGCAGCGAACGGTGGCGAACAAACCTATGAATATGAAATTCATCTCAGCTATCCTAAAAAAAGCAATTCGTATAGGAAAAGACGACGAGAAGAATAATATCAATAGTTCAAAATTGGAGTTTATAACACAATAAACACGAGAATTGACTGTTCAATTTACTTTTAGTCATGACTGATCAATACTATTGTTCTTTTTAAAATTCTCGTTTTCAGCATCAGCTTTTTGAGGCACACAAATTGTTCATGATTGAAACAATCAAGGACACAATTACTTTTAGTCACCAACTAAAAGCATTAGTAGCATGAAATTTAATATTGCACTATCAATGCATAGATACGAAATCAGAAAAAAGTACATATGTATGTGCGATCCTTCAGAACTACTGCGTATTGCCAATGAGATCTATTTTATCGTAGCTTCGATCAAAGTTAAACAAAACTGGTCAAACTGTAAAATTTGACGCAAATCAAAGCATAAAAATAGGAAATCTACGATTGTTTTGTTGCATACAAATGTCGTCTTTTAGATTTGATCTTTTTAGTTTTTCAAATTTTATAACTCATGGTACACATTTGATAAATATTATCGTCAATAGAACGATATCAACATAAGACAAAGGTGTAGACAGGAATCAAATTATGTCCATTTTTTTCCTTCTCATTAGAATATCAAGATTTTTCCAATTAGGACATGGATATGGACCTTCAGTTCATCAACACCTACATATCCAAATGCACAGCCATTTACTATTGACAACAATATTTTTTTACTTTTGAAAGGTGTCGAAAGATTGTAAAGCTTTCTTTGATAGAAGTTAACCGAGTTGAGATCTTCACGCAGATTGGCTATCAAGTCAAAAATATCAAAAATGAGTTTCGTTGCTATCTACAAGATAGAATTTAACGTTCCAGTTGAAAAGTGAACTAAAAGCTGGTAATTTTCTCGTGTAAGGCTATAACTATAATAGATTGGACTATGTTATAATACTTAATTACAATTTTTCTATAAACTCGTATCCAAAACATCGTCTTCATACTATTCTGATTCACACGTCTTTCATTGTTCTTACACGAATATGATGCATATTCAAACGCTTTAATGAAATTCTTTTACAACAGGGTGTAGATATGGATGCTAATGCTCAAAATATATGAAGTCACAGCTGTACTTATGCCCACACCGACACCCACACCTGATTCTCTTAAGAGATCGTCACATGGGCAGGATCATTTCGTTGAGTACTGTGTTCAGAAATGTTAGTGTTATTTTATTCGACTTCTGCCTATCTCTAGTTACTTACGACAAGCTCAATCAAGACACAATAAAATAAATGAAAATCGAATGAGATATAGAGAAAAAAGAAAATATCAATCTCACATTTCCTTCACTAGTATAGCTGTCGATGTCTTTCTTGATATGAACAATCGCAACATCAAACGAGCTATACAAACACATTCTACCACACGATACACTTATTCACTCGACTGTTGCCTTGAGCTGGACGGCAGCCAAACACTCTATCGAACTCGTCAAAATTCGAGGTAGAACCGAGTATTCTAAAAAGAGAAATGAATTATAATGCCATCTGAGGAAGCTGCAGAATAAAAGTCTCACCTGAATTGAGCAGGTGAGTGCACACCAATCAAAACTTGATTCTTGGCGTATTGATCTGTCACCTTCGAGCACCAAATTTGACCATAATTGAGAAAGAACATTTGCTCGGTTGAGTATTTCGTTAGACCTGGAAGCTTCTTATCAGCATTTCGATGCATTCGAGTCCAATTTTGATAAGCCTAAAAATATCTAAGTTAGACTCGAATAAAAGATTCGTGGGACTTACAAAGAAAGCTGCTTTCAGTCCACCGTTGTCAGCAATATTCTCACCTTGATTTTGTTCACCATTAACCTGAACGATAAAGACAAGTTCTTATTTTCAACAAACTGAAATAGAACAGGCGACCGGAAGATTAATTTGAGTCACTGTGTAGTTGCTGTACTGATCAATGATGCAAGTCTTCCGTTGGTTAAATGCCATCAATGTCTGATTATTCCACCAGAGAATTCTATTTCCATTCTTGTCATACAATCCACCGGAGTTATCGAATCCATGTGTAATTTCATGTCCAATGATCGTTCCGATAGCTAAATTTAAAATTATTTTCTATTCTATTCGTCACATTGAATCGTTTCTCACCGCCATAGTTGAGATACCTAGAGCGCAAATAGAAATTTTCGAATGAGATAATACATTTAATTCTACTTTGGTGCATCTTTGTGGAAGAAAGGAGTCTGAAGAATGCCAGCTGGAAAGGCTAAAGGCAGTCTCAAATATAATGTATTACTCTCGATAGAGTTTTTTTCTTACAGATATCATTAAACGATGGATTATAAAAGGCATTGACGATAGTGGGTGAATAGCCAATCCATTCCTGTCGATCAAGAAGCTCACGAAGCTCTTGAAGATTCTTTTTAGCGTTTAGTTTGAGTACGAGCAAAACGTTTCGCATAAAAGATGAATTGAAATTAAACTAGATTTTGAAACAAAAGAAAAAGAAAAAGAACCGATTAATTATGAATCACACGAATTCATGTTGATTATTTTCTACCTCTGCATAATCTTTATCCAGTTTTGTATTATTATTGTCGTCTAAATAGTCTGGATAGCCAACTTTTGAATTAATAGCTTGAGCCTATATGATGCTATTGGTCTTCTCAATGTCTAGATCGATTTATATTGCGCTTACTTTCTCGATTGCTTTATGTTTTGAGACAGAGTCCATCCACGTTGATTGATTGATAATATCAATAAATTGATTTCGAATATTGTCGATCATTGTAAGGGACTGTCAATATATAAAACAGAAACGAATTCATCATCAAACTGAGTTCTGAATACCTCTATACGGGCATCCTTGTCAAAATATTTATTTATATAAAGTTTTGAAACGGCAAAACCCATATTGTTATTGACATAATTAGCACACTCCGCTGCGCGTGATTGCTCCATAGCAGTACCTAGAAATACTTGATCGAACTTCTGTTTAATGGCTCGAAATCGTTGTGGTATAATCCATGCCCGGCTCATCATGAACCGCCATACCATATAATTTTGTAAAACTCGTGGTGATTCTTGATCGATAATTAGCGAAACACTGCGCAGATAGTCGAGTTCGCTAGCTATTACAACGTCTGTATCGACAAGAGTTACATTTGCCAAAAGATAGAGACGACGAAGATGACCAACGAAGTCAAACTGAATGCAAATATAAAGATAGAAAGATCAAGCATAATACTTACCGTAGTGTTGATTGTAGATGAGAGATTGCCGATGGTCGAATAGATAGTCTCGTTGTCTCGAGCAATCTGTTCTTTCGGCGTCCAATGATACTGCGTGATGAGTGGAAGCAGTGAGACAAAGGATGTGTGAGAAGAAAGAGAGAGTTACCATGGCGATCTTTTTTTCAAAATTGAATATGGCAGTAACATCATTGTTGATCATTGATTTCTTAGTAGCTAATGCTAAAGCGATGCTTCGTATGAATTGCCGATAGGCGTGGGTGGTCTCGCTTTCATTAACATAGTAGCTGCGATCTAGCAGACCAAGATCGCTTTGACCGATCTGAATCCTTAATATTCATTATTCATTCAAGATTACAACAAATCTCACTCGAATGGCTTGGCTCGACGAATTCATATCATTGATCTGTGTACCAGTGATGTAAATTATGTAACTACTATACTCGGCTAATTTGAGCAGTAGTTGTGAGAAGTTAAATGTTGCATTGTTCCACGCTAAACCTTGTAAGATGGGCCATCCGCCTAGTTCTGTATCAACAAAGGAAAGTAACACATCGACACCCTCCGTTAAGATAGCAGTTTCATTAACACAGGAAGCGAACAAGCGCTGAGCATTAATGATTGCTTTGGACGTATTGGTGCTGTTCGGTGTTGACAATGTTAGAAGATCTGCAAACAATAATACCATCAATAGGAAAACCAAGGTTGATCTATTCTTTACCAATAATAGCGTCCTGCAACCGAGTTTCCACCGTAGTAAATGTATCTTGAGAATTGGCTTTTTTATAGAATGAATTTGATGCTTACGTTCAACATACACAAAGGAACAGAGAGAGCTTACCATCATTTGGTATTTTTATGTTTTTGATTCGCGTGCCACAGGCAAAGTTGTAGAAGTTTTCACATGGATCGATTGTCTCATCGATACTCTCAAGCAGTGAACTGGCTACAAACATAGAACAATATTTATTGTATCCATGAAATTATTCTGACCTGCTTTGACACAGTATCTAGTTAAGCATAAATCACTGTTGTTGTCGATTGAAATGGCTATTCATGTTCAACAATTTTATTTTAAGTTTTTCTGTCGATAAGATTAACTAATATAGACCTGTTATCGTCTGATTATTCATTATTTTATTTTGTTGGATACCATACAGGACGGCTAACACGATAGTGCCAATCAGCAAGAAACCGACGAAAGTACCGAAGAATACCCAGAGCAATACGATGCATTGTTTCCGTGTCGATAATCGACTAAAAAGATGGTGAATGTTACTTACCTTATGAATATTGTTTATCGTTTTTTATTTCTCTTTCCTATTTTGACTTTGTAAGACATTTTTTCGTCGGTTATCTATTTCTTCAAAATTATTCAATATTTCACTTACCGGTCAGGATGAAATATAGACACAGTGCTTGCTATTAAATCGTCAGGCATGCTTTTGATTTTGATCATGATTAAACAGATTGCCTTTATAATATAAATCTCGATGAATAAATATCATTTGATAGTTCTTATTGGTGCTTGACTGGTCGCTCTTTTGCAAAAGTCAATCACTTATCTATGTTGTGAAGCAATGAAATTATAATTGTCTTGCTTTTTTTATGCGTATAAATACCTTTCTTTTGTTGCAGTAACACATGTACCATTGCATGCCATTTGAATACGATTCAAACTTTAAATTTATCATAGAAAGGATAAAGAAATCGATGAGAAGGAAGACAAAAGAACATACATTGATTAGGCTATGATTGTCTGGCTTCTCAAGCAATCATTCACATATTTTAGCGGATGAGTACTAATAGCTATTGTGTTTGACATTTAATCTTTTTGTCATTTCAGAATTCAAGTACCCGAATATTGCTTTTTAGTAAATTCTTGCTTTTTTTTTGATTAAATACAACCCAGACTTCAAAAAAGATACTTTGTAGGACTAATGCTAAGACTGTTTGACCTTCTTTGACAATGCAACAGATGCATTCTTTTCTTCGAATCATATACGAATATATTGATTTCAATTCTGTGTTTTTCTGTTTTCTTTCTTCAATCAAATTTGACAGTAATACAAATGATAGCTGATATATCAAAACTGGTTGTAATTACAATAAAGCGAGAAACACTTTCACACCCACACCCTTATGAATTGAGAACGAAAAATGTAACTGATACCGACTTATACAGATGGTCGATTTCTGTGATTAAAATAGAAAGACATCAAAAATATATGGAACCATCAGACCTACAGATGACAGAGAGTGAAGAACTATTGTACAATTGTTCTATGAAATGGTTTGGATTAAGATATGAATATAGATTTCTCTTTGATGACAGGACTTTTGATCACATATTGGGAGAAGTATTTATATGGAAAACAGAGTTCGATCCACTTGAAGTTTTCGATGTAACAAATGAAACATGTTATTGACATCTAGACTGTGATCGAGGATCACTCATATGTTTAGACTGGCGTGAGTTTTGTGATGGTAAGTTTGATTGTATGAATGACTGTGTTGATGAGATAGATTGTTGGCAATTAGAATTAAATGAATGTGCAGATAACGAGTTTAGTTGTCGTAATGTACAATGTATACTGTTGGAAATCTATAATAATCTTCCGTTGATCGGTTGTATTGACGAATCCGATACGCAACCTGATGACTCAGGAGAACCAATGTCAAACGATTTATGTTATGTAAGTCAAGATCTACATTGTGAAGATATTGTTTGTAGTCAATCTTCTATAAAAAACACACTTCCATGGTCATGTGGTGATGGTTCCTGTTTGGATTATTTTCCTTCATTATGTTGGTCTTGTAAAAATGGTAGAAATATAATTCATATAAAATCAATGTTCAAACAATCTGGCAATAAAAATTCCAAATTATGCTGGGAATCGATGATATGCTCATTGAAACTAGATTCTGAACTATTTCCAGATGTCGATTGCACATTTTTGTATCACAAAATAATTAAATCAGCATATCCAACAATAATAATTTTTCCGAATGTACCTATTATATACCACCATGTTTATTTTATCTACAATATTACTAGAAAAAATGATTGGACAACAAATGTACCGCCAAATTTTATATGTTATGATGCTCGATACTGTGATGTGATTATATTTAATAATTTAACATGTATTAATTTTACCACCGAAATTGAAGATTGAAATTGTCTAGTTTTTGGTGTTCACAAAATTTTTCATGAACATTGTGGGACACTTCTAATCAAAAATGCTCGTCTTCATTAACAGAACCAGCATTATTTCGTTGTAGTAATTCTATGAAATGTATTTCAAAACATCGTCTAGTTGATGAATTTTATGATTGTCCGATAAACGATGATGAACTTTACAATGACACTTGTTCACTTAATCTAAACAGTCGGTTTCAATGTACAATAGATAAAGATAGATGTATTTCATATATATTAGTTAAAAGTAGTGTCTGGTGTTGCAAATCTCACAACAATGAACCAGACATTTCTAAGAAAGACACATGGAATATTGCATTGCGTATAATATGTGATGGCAAAGTTGATATATTGCCGATTCTAATTGACAATAAAAATGAAACAGATGAAACTGATTGTAATGAAAATCCTTGTCGAAAACCAGGCATCACATGTCAGTCTGATATTGATTCACTTGAATTGTACCCATCAAGCAAAGTACTTGAAGTCAATAAATTAGCCATTTCTCTTACTAAACAAAGTGTTATGAGTTCCGCTAGTCTTTCAGTAATAAGAGACAATAACAGACTAAGACGACTTGCATGGTACTGTAATCGTGAAATTTTAATTGAATCGATAGTTGATGGTGAAAAATGTCTATGTCCTCCAAGTTATTATGGTGAACTATACCAATATCAAAGTCAACGTGTTAGCCTAACATCGTTACTACGGCAACGCAGTGCATTTGAACAATATACAACGTTCAAAATAGTTTTATTATTGATGACTCATGAAGAAAATATTGTTCTTTCATATGAGCAAGTTCTGTTTCACAGGCCACACGTATCCAACAATTGTGCAGGACTGTATAAAACTCAATTGTTATATCCTAATCGTCCAAAATTATTATTAAACAAAGCGTATTTTATTCGTATTGATGCTTATGCTATTCATAGTTTACGTAAACAAAAAAATGAATATCGTGCTAGTTGGTATTCCGAAATTCTAATGTCATCTATATCTGTTAACAAAATTGCATTGAGTTTGATCATACCAGAAGCTATATCTTATTCAGTAAAGTATGATTGTGAACATGGGAGTTGTATTCAAGATCAAAATTCATTCAAAAAAAGTTCTGCTATTGTAAACAGTGTTGGTTCTGTCGAAAATGTAATAAAAAATACGAGTGCAATTGTTTTCCGGATTCACTTTGTATTGAAAGATCTATTTGTCTTTGTCCAATAGATAGAATTGGATCGCAATGCTACATTCATACTCCTTCCTGAAATCGTTGCAGAAATGAAGGAATTTGCATTTCGATTGATCCTCGATTACATAGTGCACCGTTTTATTGCATCTATTCAGAAGAATATGAAAGATATACTTGTGAAAAACATAGAAACCGTTTAGATGTCTCTTTTCAAATAGAATTTCTGTGTATGCATCTAGTTTTACTATTTATTTTCAATCGATCACCAACATTATTTATATTCAATATGACAAAAATTATCATTTAGTTTTTCTTCAGCCTAAGTATGATATAATGGACTCACAGATATCAACAGTAGTTGATGCATCGAATAAATGTGCTAGTATTGATGAATTATTAAATTGAACAGTGCTATCTTTTGAGCCAATTAAACAATTAAAATTTTACCATGAACCATGTCAACAAAACTATAACCTTTGTTGTTTCTATGATCAAACACACATGTGTCTGTGTCACAATAAATATCATACAGCCATTTGTTATAAATTTAATCACAGTATGTCATATGAATGTATCAGTTATAGTAGTTATTGTGAACATAATGATCAATGTTTTCAAGACAATAATATATGTCGAGGAAAATCAATATGTTTGTGCAAAGAATGTTATTATGGTACCAGATGTCAGCTAACAACTAGTGATTATGTACCAGAGCTGGGCAACTCAATTCAAAAAACGGCCAACTCAACTCAATTCAATTCAATTCATGAACCTAGTTGAATTGAGTTGACAAAAATTTTTCAGGGTCTACTAGTTGAATTGAATTGAGTTGAAACATTTTTCAAAGATATACTAATTGCTTTGAATTGAATTGGACAAAACTTTCAAACATCTATGAATTGAATTGAATTGAGTTGGAAAAAGATATCCTGAGATCACTGAATCGAATTGAGTTGAATTGAAAAAATTTTCAGAGCCTACTGAATTGAATTGAATTGAATTGAAAAAAATCTCGAGGTCACTGAATCGAATTGAGTTGAATTGAATATCTTTTTTGGAGATGAGTGAATTGAATTGAATTGAGTTGAAAAAAAAACTTCGGAGATCACTGAATTGAATCGAGTTGAATTGAAGCATTTTTCTCGAGATTTGCAAATTCATTTCAATTGAATTCAACTCAAAGATATTTCTGAAACTGTTGTTATATGATCAATTTACGCATTAAAACTAATGAAAGATCAAGGTATGAACTATGATCTATTTTTGTAATTTTTCTTCCGAGCTTCTATTTCAACATAGCTGCATTATACTTGCATTTTGATGTATATTTCTGATGCGCTTCAGTCAACTTATTACTATTTTCTTTTCTTTTCTGATGGTTACGTATAATTTAAGCACCTAAGCTCTCAACGTATCGATTTGTTTTCCTATTCTTTCAAGTGACAGATACAATGTCCATTTATCCTTGTCTTATAGGGCAATATCATGCAAATCATTTGTTTGTTGACTGGTATGTTATCTATTGGGAATGCATACCTCTTATACTGTATACCTCTTTTGTTCATTATTGTTTGATTCAGTTATGACCTTCTCTTGTAGTCTGGCAATATTGTTGAATAAATAGTCCAAATCGTTCTACAGTAGATAACTCTAGTTAAAGTCAGACGTGAAGGAAACGAAATACCGAGGTGAGTTGAATTCAATTCAATTCAATTCAGTAATAGAGTTGAATTGAATTGAGTTGAAAAAAAAGTTCGTGTTCGATGAGTTGAATTGAATTGAATTCAGAAAAAACTTTCGAAGTCATTGAATTGAGTGGAATTGAGTTGGAAACAATTTTCAAGATACATGAATTGAGTTGAATTGAATTGAAATATTTTTCCAAGATGTATGAATTGAATCGAATTGAATTGGAATATTTTTTCCAAGATGCATGAATTGAATTGAGTTGAGTTGAGAAAAAATTTATAGTATCTATGAGTTGAATTGAATTGAGTTGAAGTTTTCTTCCAATGAATCGAATTGAATTGACCACCATTTTGAGTTGAGTTGCCCAGCTCTGGTGCCATACATGACCCATGGAATCGTCGTCTGATATCTGATGAAGAGGAACAACGTACATGGTGTGTTATTAATTATACTCATCGACCGTGGTTAAATAGTATGAATATGGATCTTAATATTTCACATTTTATCATACCATTCACAATTAATTTTTTATCTGTATTTATTGTTATTCTAAAAGCAGCACGTAAACGGAGTGTATCATATAGACATAAATCTTATCGTTGACATTTAAAAGAGCAATGTCAACAACACAAAGCTTTAATCATCAGTCCTTGTTTATTATTTTTACTTCAATTGCCACGTCTTATTATTTCATATTTTAGCAGCTCCATGAAATCAGAATGTGATCTGTGATTATATTTTGTTGGATATTTTCTATCGTTTATACCATCACTGACAACATATGTCATTTTTCTTTTGCCGTCAGAACTATATACAAATGAATTCTATAGAGCAATGAAAAGTTATTATGTTCATATTAAACGAACATGCTTTTGTTGTGGACACTAGAAACTTTATTTTTTTTTATTATTTGACGATATTAAAACTATTTGAGGGTGTGAGTGGATGAAAGAATTGACGAACTCACAACAAATGCTTCGCGATTGTGTGACTTGATATTTGATTGGCTAGGAAGGAGGCTACAACCCGACTAGACTCGACCCGAGGTTAGACTCGAGCTACACTTCGACGGGTGTTGATTCTTTTCTGGTTCATTTTTCTACACGCAATTTGTCACACTGTACTTTCCACAACTTACGTAAAATTAATATCACATGAAGCTATGGGTTGATACACTTTTGAATAGACTACGATCATTCCAATAATTCTGTCAAGATTGTACAACTTATTTGTCTTCCATATAACAGGAACTGATTTATTGGCAGAGACAGATTATTCTATTCATAGACTTCAGACTCAATATTTAGTTCAGCAAGCTACCGTTCCGAGGATGTGTGTGTATTCGGGGTGTGGATGCCGGTGGTGATATGAGATGCGGCTACGGATAGGCATGAATAAAGAAGTCCCACGTACATGAAGGGTATAGGTGGATGTGAATGCAGGCGAAGAGAACACAAGACCCAGACTCACCCACACCCACATTTGGAATATATTGTATTTCTCCTTCTTTCCCTCTTTCTTTTTTTCATGTTATTTTCAATTTTTTTTTATTTTGTTTTGGTTGAAACTGTTTTCCCCTCACCCTAATTGTTTTTTCTTCTCTCTTCTCTTTTCTTTGATCTATTTGACTTGAACTGCGTTGTTTCCTCATTGCAGAGAAATTTCATAAGTTTTTTTTCGCAATATCTCCTATCGTACAGATAAGAATAAACCGAAAACTCATCACTTTCCTTCTATATTTTCTGTTTTCTCCTTTTGTAGATATGCGCGTTGTCTTAAAATAAATAAAAAAAACTTACGCAAGGCGAGTAAACAAATATCTATTTGACCACTTCGATAATACTGTAACAGTGTGTTTTTCCTTGAGCCCTTATTGAAATCAAAAAAGTTCAAAATTAAATTGCATGTGAAACAAGAAAAGTTATTCATTAGTTATCTTGTGAATTTGTTTTTTGTAAGATGATATCCTTATTCTATACTACAGACTACGACTAAGTGACTGACCGACTGTTATAGTGCTAAATAATAATTTTTTGATTCCAATGTTTTTTTTTCTTGTATAAAATGTTAGATTTTATTCTAGAGAAAGAGATAAACTTAAAACTGTTGTAAGAATATTGATATATTTTTTAGTCTCATTTATTAACATACTAGAATTTTATATATCGATTTAGAAATAAGCTATTCATTTAGTTTGATGAAGGATATAGTGGTTAACAATACAATAGAACTTTTCAAAAATAATTCGTGTGTTCAGCTTGTACTGTTTCTGCGTGTATCTATTTATACTGGAAATATGTCATAATAAAAAATGAATGATCATGATCTAAGAGAATGAATTGGACTTGATTGAGATAGTCTGATGATAATGATAAGATATAATTTATTCTGCTTCAATTTTCATAAGCAGGCTTTTGAATAACAAAGTAAATGTATGATAAAGTTCTTTTACAATTCAATTACTATCGAAATAACTCATGAGAAGTAGACAAATAAACATTTCGTCTATTAAAATTTTCATATTAAGTATTAATCGTATTCGAAATACTAATCTTTAATTGTTAATTTCAATCAACCAAGTGCGACACACAAAGTAAAATCTAAAACATTTGTCGTGCAATTCATTCACAGTCATATTTTAACCTTCTGATTCTCAAAAGTTGAACGGCAAAAATTGCATTCTTTACTTTTAATCAAGATATAGTATGTTTACCATTAGAACTTTGTTTTTGAAACTTATCGACTGGAATACATGTCATAAAAACCAAACAATGAGATATTATTTAAGTGTCACATGCTGCTAAACATAATTAAATGGTCTTTTACAAATTTTTATTGCGATTATTCACTTCAATTTTTGTCGAGTAATTTATCTATAGCAACTCATACAATAGAAAATCAACATAATGAATCAATAAATATCTCCTCGATACTAGAAATCGTTCTGTTGAATAATACTTATCATGAATAATTATATTTAGTCGTATATTGCAACATATGTATTAATTAATCAGAGTGTGTTATCATCACATTTCAAAACTGTCTGTATTGTGCTGTAGAAAAGAAAATGACAAGACGAAAAATGTTTATTTTATGAGTAACAATATTTTATTTTTTTCTTGCTTCACGTGTTTTTTAACAAAAAATCTTGAGTGTCAAGAAAAAATAGTTCGACCATGTTGGAAATATAAAAATATCAAATATCGAACGATATTAGTCACATGAAATTTTCTATGAGATTTTCGTTTATCAAAAGACCAAAAAACGATTGAATAAACTAATTAATAACAATTATTTTTATTTCCATCTGTTAAATATTTAGATCAAAAAGAAAAAGCCTATGTCAGACATTTGTTTAAATTATCGCATATTTTTGTATTATTTGAATCATATGAGAAGCTTATCCTTAAAATAGTTGCTCATATCAACTGCTATTCTTTGTTGTGAGCACAATATATGCTACTATTTTTTAAATTCTTCCAGTAATACTTTCAAAGCTTGGTACAAATAGAACAACAAAATATTAACAAAATTGATATGAAAAAAAAAGGATGTTAGCGTAATCAAGTTCTTGTTGTGACACACGTGTAATTTTCTCATTGTAGTCCGCTGCTCATCGCAAGTATCACATGGACAAAAATTGCGACAAAAGAAAGGATCTAAAATCGTCACTTTCAAATGACACTGCAACCGTTTGCTAAATGCTCTTCATTTGAAAGAAACTTGAATTTTGTGTCTGGTCCCACGATTGATTAGACAATAGACGCAAGTTACAAGACAAAATCAGACAATGGCTATCGATAAATACCTATGGAAATCGTGTGATAGTCCGTTTTTTTGAAATAGTCAAGGTTGAATTTGATATCGTTCGAAATTAGTTTTGTAATCCTTAGACAGTTGTTCAGGATAGGAGGTTTTTGAAAAACATGCATTCGATGTTCTACAAAAGAAAAGGAATCTATTACTAACTTTTTGTTTGTAGAAGAACTACTCCAAAGTCTGCTGATATTTAAATTCTGAATCAAACTCTATACTAATATGAGCTTATAGGTGAAATTATCTGAATAAAGCCATGACAGGTAAATTTCTATGTGTATGATAAACATAATAAACATACTTATGTTACATTAACAGTTGGAGATTTGATATTCACGATTAACTGAAATTACACTAAAGAAAAAACTTTAAAGTTCAAGAAAACTGCTGAATGTTTATAGAAAAAGCAAAATCTGGTATAAAAATCATAATTCTGCGCTTCGAAGATATATCATTTTTTGTGTTCAAGAATTAATAATGTTATTTTTTCATGCTTGATTGTTAATAAAATATTGTATTTTTCCAGATAGTCCTTGTATTTTAACCCATGCTTTATATAATTCATTTTCCAATGTTGTTGAGAAAGAAATTTGTATATCTGTATAATAATAATTAACAAGCTTCTTTGATTTTAGCTGTCCACTGTCATTTGCTAAATAAATTTTGATTAAACATTTGTATCTACTTTTTCATTTAAAGCGAATTCTGTGAATATTTCTAATATTTCATAAGCTTTCATAGCAGGTGTGGGTATTCTTTCCGTCGACACATATAGGCATATCCAAATCCACATAATAGTTCTCAGAGTGCCTCATGATGTAAAGCAAGCAGAAAAGAGTGAGTTCCATAAAGACTTCATAATATATCATTACACTTTGAACGACTTTAGAAGTTCAAGAGCGTTCAGAATTTACATGAAACTACTCTCTATCATTACTTTTTATTGTTTGATAACTACAATCAATAATCATTCAAATCAATATAGCTAAATATTTCTCCTTTTAAAATTGTTTTCATTAAAATCCTGCTCACTGCAATATTTTAAGGTAGAGCAAGGCTTTTGAAAATATGGTTATCATAGTATAAGTGTTCATATAAAATAAACTATTAGCGTAGTACCTGTGAGATAAAAGTGTGAAACACGATATTGCTGGTGTTGCTAATGACTGGAACACTGCTCTGCACGATATGGGTGTGTAAAAATACGCGTCCCTTTTTCGCTAGTTGATAATCGATATGAAGATAAATATGTTTTTGTATCTAACAAGAATTGTTCAATATGACGAATATGAACGTAAGAAAGATCAAATTTAGTAAGACAAGGATATTTAATGATTAATAAATCTTTCGTTATTTTGTTTTTTTTCACGATTAATCATAGTTAAATGTTTCAAAAATGAAAATAATTGAGAAACTTGCAGAAAAAATTCATGTTGAAATGGACGTTCATCATATGATGATATTTCACGAACATATTTCATAGAGATTTTTCTTCCTTTACGAAATAATTTGATTATGTTTAAAATCTATGAATACCTTCATTTGATTTCAACTCAATGTGATTATTAAAACAAATTGATGAATGAATATAAAAGGTAAATGTGTTTAATGATAGCATATAATTAATAATAATTATTTTCATTTCATTACCATGAGCAAAGACATGGTTCTGTAGTATGTCGTGTGTGGTTGTAGGTGAAATGAAGACTTACATCCACAACCTCAGTTTTCTAAATATAATTCATCGGTAATTTGTTTATTATTATTGAGAGAGAGAGACTTTATATCGAAGAACACATTTGTCAGTTAAAATTAGGTTACATTATTTATTTTGTTAATAGATAAATTTAACAAAAATACAACATACAAGTATCTTCTCAGAGACAGAGAGAGAAAACAATGTGAACATTGTTGTGTTCACATAGGTTTTACTGAGTAATTTTTATTGTGATCATCTATTAGTTCTAAGGAAAATGATTTTCTTAATAATACAAAACCATTTCAACTTTTCATATCGATTACTATCTATTTACAAATATAAATAAATAAATATATTAAAATATCATTTCACAATAGATAATTTTATTTTTCAGTTTTCCAAAAAAAAAAAAATGCTTCAAATTAAGAAAAAAAAACATAGTTAGAGTTTTTCAAAACATAATCGATGAACTATTGTCAAAGCTTAATGAAATAAATTCTAAATTTCATTTCCATAACATCTTATGTTTTTTTTTGTGAATAGAAATCTTCTTTATGCTAACTAATTTTAATTAAATGAAAATTGACCATGTACAACACCACATGTTGATTAGTCAAGATCTATGATAGTAACTACTAGTTGAATGCTTGTAAGACAACGTTCTAAAGCGTTAAAAAGCTTTTTACTTTAGAGATAAGATCGGTTTGAATATTTTTCGACTCAAATAAATCGTATCTCTATTCAATCCTTTTTTTCAATCTTCAAATAAAATGATTTGTTTTTGAATTTTGACCTAAAGCTTTACACAAATAAATGTCTTACGAAGGCATATTTTCAACTGATCAAACGCTTTTGAATTCGAACTCTGTGCAGAAGGTGGACTTCAGTGAGGTCGTTAGAATATTTTTAAAATTTCAGCTCAAAAGTGTTTTCTTCTCGAAATATTATATAAAAGACGTAAAAGTTTTCTATTTTTAGAATTTGATTATTTCAGGAAGAAAATATTCTTTTGTGCTGAAATTTTTCAAGTATTCTGACTACTCTATAGATACAATTACATTTTACAATACCGTTATTTAATTTGTTGATATAAATGAAGCCAGCGGCTAAACTTTCAGTACAATGTCAATAATTTTGAATGGGAGATATAAGAAAAATTATCCTTTTTGAATGCTGTCATTAAGCCTAGATTGAGTTTTAAAAAATGTTAGAATTTTTAAACATTGCATATCTGTTATACCATGCTTTTGAGATTTGATCCAATTTACATCTAAGTAAGACATCTAGTTTTAAATTTTAAATAAAAACTTGAAAAAAAAAAGAAGATTTGACTGCAAAATCTAGGCTTGACTAAGCTATCAAGTTTTTTTTGTCTTCTAGAGATTCCAGATTTTTGAAAAACTCAACTAGACTAACTTTCATAGAAAAAAATTCACAAGTTTTGAAAAACACTTCTTTGCGATATGAAACATTCAAGATAGAGATCCTTTTCCATGATCCATAGATATTCTTTTTCAAAGTTTTGTATCTCAAAAAGATTCTATTCAAAATTTCTGAACTTTTCTTTTAGAATCTATTCTTCTATATAGAACAAGTTTGAGATCAAAATTTGGAATTCAATTCTTATAAGAACACTATATTAAATTATAAGCAAAAGAAAATAAGGTTCAAAAATCTTCTTTTTCTTTTTTTGTAGCATCTCAAAAAGTTTCTTCGTTATTAATTTTGTTATAGACTTATTAATAATATTGTCAAGTATATACCAAATAATAAACAATTGAAAATATTCCATATGATTATCGATATCATTTAATTACAATCCAATATATATATGAAAATCGACATAGCCGAAAAATCCCATAGTCAATATTCATATAACACTAACCTAAGATATTCGAATTATTTAAATCATTTGCCATATTCTAATATATATATCCATTGATAAAATAATCTAAAGTTTTTGTCGAAGAAAAATATCGCCGATCTAGAAGACACACACATTGATCGGTGTATGTATACTGTTAAAACTCGTCGGTATTGAATGCATTTTATAAAACAGAAAGTCGGCGCTGGTTTTATTTTTTATTTTTTTTTTTTTCTTTCAAGACCCATCGTGCTTTTGTTTTATTAAAAGCTATCTCGAGATTAATTTATGTTTGTGCTATCTAATAAAAGCTAACAAACAATTATCCCGAAGTGCAAAAAAAAAACGAGAAGAACAACGAAACAAAAAAAAAATGAAAGATAGATAATAACAAATCAAAGAGAAAAAAAGAAAAAAGAAAAGAACGAAAATTGAATGACACAAGCGAGAGCCACCGGCAATAAGTGTTCCATATGACTAGACGAACACATTCTCTTAGTACACAAGACTCTATTTATTGGTTTGTTTGGTTTTTTGCTCTCGCTGTGTAACCATAGTTAAATATTATTTAAGATGGTACAATTCGATCCAAATCGGCATGTGTTAAGATTTTTGAATGTTTATGACGAAATGCTGGTTTAATCAATGATTTAGCATCCATACGTACTTAAAATATATAGAGAAAATAAATTTTGTTTTTTTTTTTTTTTTGTTCTTTCGTATACCCGCATCAATATTTGAAAACTCTTTAGAAGCTAAATGTTGTGAAATACGTTTTGCTAGTGTTTTAAACAATTCCTGAAAAAGAAAAAAGCAATAAAATTCAATTAACAATTTTGTTTACTTTAGATGAAAATCTATTTGCTTGATAATATGGATTGAGTACATCAACAACAACTTCTGAAATTGTTTTGATATTCACAGGAAGCTAAAAAGAAAGAAGGTTTAAAGTTATACATTAAAACAACATACTTTCATTCTGTGATAGAATTAAAAACTTCATCATATAAATTTCGCAATAGTATAGAACAAAAAATTTATGTACTACGAACTAGGAGTGGGAAGTTACCGTTCCCGGGTAATTGGGCAGTTACCAGTTACGTTTTCAGGGTAACTCATTAAAATGACGAATTATGACTTCCTATGATCGAATTTTGTCCATAGATTAATTTTTTCCTCTAAATGCGATCTTAGGATGTCATAATTCGTCATTTTAACGAGTTACTCTGAAAAAGCAACTGGTAACTGCCTCGTTACTGTTACCCGGGAATATTAACGGTAACTTCCCACTCCTACTACGAACAGGAGAAATAGTTGTGAAGAGAAAAACTGGTATCCACATAATTCTTCAGTGACATGACTTCGGAACATGAAAAATTGTATATCTCGAGATAAGCAACTTTTTGTATATGAAACAATTCTGAAAATGTTAGTATTGGAGATCTTTATTCATAGTTCTTTATGAACAAAAAAAAAACAACAAATCAACTTGCACTTCATAGGTTTTAGTTTGTGATATAAGGTAGTTATAATTCATATAGATTTCATTAAAAATAAGAGAAAATGTTTTTTACTTTGCTATCTCGAGATTTTTTTGTTGATGATTTTCGATTACTAGTTGAACTAGTAGATAATAATCGTTTATTTTGTATTGATAATTTTCTATTTGTTGATTTTCCATTACCACCGAATGAATTACTACGTTTTTTCGTTGGTATAGTTTTATGTTCTTCATCAGAATTATATGTACCCGGTGGCATTGGTAATGATTTACGAATATTTGTTTTAGATAAATCTTTAGTAATAATATTATTATTATTATTATTTATTGTTTTATCATTATCAGGATTATGATTAAATAATGAACGAATACGTTCATCTAAACTTGTTTGACGTTGACGATTAGTATTAAGAATTTGTTGTTCTTGATCATTAAGAAATGATGGTGATGATGAACCTTGTGGTGGTATTGGTTCTTCATTAGGTGATTGTATTGTTAAATGTGTTGATGATTGTTCATTTAATTTTTGATGTAAAAAATTAGACATTGATTCAAGACAAGTTTTTAATGTACCACGAGCTTGTTTAGCTTTAACATCAGATGAATTTGTTTGATTAGGTAAAGAATTACGACGATGTCGATGAATTATTGTTGTTGTTGTTGTTGTTATTTGAGATTTAGAATTTGTTGATAATGATTGATGAAGTAATTTAGAATTTTTTTTTTCTTTAGATTTTTCACCATTTGATCGTTTTAATATTGAAATTTTCGATGATTTATTATTAGTATTATTATTTATTTGTATTTTTGATGATGATGATGAAGATGTTGAAGTTGATGAGGATGAGGATGATGAATTCGTTGATGAACTTGATGATGATGATGATGATGATGAAGATGATAATGATCGTTTTCTATTAGGTGATTTATTTTCTATATTTAATGGTGATAATGATGGTTGATTAGATTTATCTTGTTGTTCAGATTCATTATTTGTATGTCCATTTTGTTTAAGAATTTTTGTTTCGGGTTCATTTGAAATAGAATTTATTTCAGTTTCAGAAAGTTTACGTTTGGAAGATGTTGGTGAAGATGATTCGATTATTGGATTTACTGGCATGGAATCAATTATATACAAACTAGCATTATTTTTTGTTGCTTTAGTAATTTCATTACACTAAAAAAATAACAAAACATCAAATCAAATATATAAATTAGAATTTTTTATTATTACTTTAGACATATATTTCATTTTATACATTGGTTCACTTTTTGTTGCTAAAAATACTTGATGTTCAAGCCATACAGCTTTATCAAGACATGTTGCTTCACTATAAAAAGTAAAAGATATTATTTTTATATCTGAAGAATATTAAAAACTAGCGAGAACCCGTGCATACTGCACGGCTGTTTTCTCCTTTAATGTATGACCTCAGACATTTAATTTTTCATCCGGTAAAATGCATACAGACACTCGATATTATGTATATAGATAGGTTGCCCTACGACCTCATACTCTCATATCGCACATATTTTTATAGTCTATGCAGCCTTCGACCTTATATTCCTTGTAACCTTACTCCCTTCAGGGCCTATGCGTATCGCCATACAATAGCCCTTAGGGACCTATGGATACCCCCATAGGATAGCACTTGAGGACCTATGGGTACCGCCATAGAATAGCCCTTGAGGACCTATGGGCACCCCCCTAGGATAACCCTTGGGGACTACGGGTACCCCCATAGGATAGCCCTTGAGGACCTATGGGTACTCTCATAGGATAGCCCTTGAGGATCTATGGGTACCCCCATAGGATAGCCCTTGGGGACTTATAAGTCCCCCATATAATAGTGCCTGGAGATCTTCCCCTTATACCCTTATTTGACCTTTAACCTTTGACCTTTAACCCTTGACCTTTGACCCGGCACAGAGAAACACACACAGAACATTATATATATAGATTTTCTTTTGGAATAGAAAATTTCGAATTCTTTATCATGTTTCGATTATATTCATGTTTTTAAAACGATTCAAGAAACTCGTTTTTTTTTGATAATCTTATCTCTAATGAAAATATTCTATTAAGAAAATAGATTTATAATTACTATGTAGTTCGTTGTATTTCATCATTAGCAAAATGTTTTTCAATATTTTCAATTAATACTTCTTTTAATTTACGACAAACATGTTCACGAAGTTGAATAGTAACATTAGGAATTTTTCGATTACTTGGATCAATTAATGGACAATTAACACTTGCTACTGTCCAAGTTTTTGGTTTAATTTCCATTGCCTATCAAAAAATTTAAAAAAAATAAAAAAAAAAAAGAAATTTTTCTATTACAGCTCCACGTCGTTTAAGTTCATTAAAAACAAGTTTTGTTGCTAATTTAGCTGTTTCACTATCATTATCATCATGATGTCGATAATCATCATCAGTATCACGATATTCACGTTCATCACGTCGATTTCCTAATCGACCACCTTCATACTGTTCTTCACTACCATCATTACGATATATAATACGATTTGTTGAACGTCGATTAATTATTTCATCAAATTTCTTTTTCTAAAAACATAATTTTTTTATATTTCTTTACAATCAAAAAAATGAATATATTAAATTTACTTTTAAATTTTCTAAATTAATTGAAACAAATTCACGTTGTGTACATACATCACACATTGTTTCACATGGTTTCATTGATGTATCACCAAAATAATTACAAATAACCAAATGTCGACATCTGTATAAAATATAATTCAACTTTTTTTTTTCTATATGATTTGTTAATTATATATACTTTGCTTCTTCACAATATTGAACAAGAGAATTGAAACCATTAATCATAGATGTTTTTTGTTCATCAGCAACTTTCTAACAAAAAATATGAAATGAAAAAGATTGATTTTTTTGTTTACTTTATCATTTATTTCTTGATTAATAAGAAATAATTGTGTATCACGTTCACGTGCTGAATAATACATTCGACAATTTGATCGTTTTCCATCACGTCCAGCTCGACCAGATTCTTGATAATAACCAGATATTGATTTAGCTAAGTCCCAATGAACAACAAATCTAAATAAGAGATATATATATATACAGTAAAACATCCCATAGTAGACACTCCGCGATCCGATGGAGAGGTTTTTCCTGGAACTGAATCTCTCTATAATGGACATTTTTGAGAAGTGTCAACTAAAGAACCCTCCTGTATTCTAACAATTGTTGATATTTTTGTATTTCAAGAATAGAAGTAACAATGAGTACTAGTTAGTTATCTTATTCATTAACGCCCTTCAATTCCTTAGAAAACGTGCTCGCTTCTTTGAAAAATTTCACTTTTTGAAAAGTGACCAAACCTTCCTATAGTGGACATTTGCAAAAAGTCCCATAGATATCCACTATAGGAAGGTTTTACCGTATACAATTTAAATCTAAATCTCTACTTTCATATTGAGTCATAAAATGTGTCTTAGAAGAATAAACCTTTGTTCATAGTATCTTCCGTAGGTATTCGCTTTTACTTTCAACAAAAAATGTATCGAATTGAAACTGTATTTTCGAAAATTGAATAGTACATGCTGTAGATAATTTCTGAAGCTACAAAATCTCTTTTTAAAGTATTCTTTGAGAATGCCTAGATGTTTCAAAAAACCGGATTAGTAACATGACTAAAAAACCAATATAAGTTCTTCTTGACGATTTCTACAAAATTGATTTTAATGAAAACTTTACCAACAATACGATTCGTTCTATCCTAAAAGAGTTTATTCAAAGAAATAATCCTTCTAAAAAAAGGTCAAATTTAAATGAAAACTATGTTTCTTGAAAAATGAGTTTTCGACTTTCTATATAGATAAAATAGATAGCATAACCACATGAATAATCAAAGCAGTTGTTTTTTTTTTTCTTTCTAACGTATTGATGAATGATTGATAGTGATATAAATTATTTGATTTCAATTTTAGAGATAAGAAATACATGTGAAACAAGATCGAAGAATCGAAATATAATATATGCAAAAAATTTGTCAGTATTAACCTAAAAAGAATAACTTAATTACTTACCGAACATCACCTTTATCAATACCCATACCAAAACTAATTGTAGCACATATGATACTTGTTAAACCATTCATCCAATCATTTTGAATTTGTATTCGTTTTTCATTTGTTAAACCAGCATGATATGCTTTAACTGTACCATATTTACCTGTTTGTGTTAATTTATTAGCTAAATCTGAACATGTATCACGTGTACGACAATAAATTATTCCACTTATTAATTGTGACTAATAATATTAAATGAGAAAACAAAAAAAAAAAAAAGATTTTTTTTTTTTTCGTGTATAAATATGAAATAATTTTACATTAGTTATAAGTTTTTTTGTTTCATCTATAAATTGACATAAATTTATAAAAGGATCATCAAGTAATTCTTTAAATTGTATATCATAAAAGAGATTCGAACGAAATACAGATGATTTAAATTCTAATATAGGTTGTCGTAAATGTAATGAACTATATACAAAAAAAACAAATTGAATTATAATCAATACTAAATAATACAATAAACAAACCTATAAATATCATTAATCACTTGTTGAGATGCTGTAGCTGTTACAGCAATACATGGTACATTATTTAATTCATCATGTAATGTACCTAATTTTAAATAATCTGGTCTATAATCATGACCCCATTGACTAACACAATGTGCTATAAAAGACAAAAAAAAAATGAATAATTCGAATGAACAAAAAAAAACAAATACCTTCATCTATAATGAGATAATTAATTAATTTACGTTGATGAACTTTTTTTATAATTGATAAAAAACCTTATAAAAAAAAAGATATTTAAAACAAAAAAAAAAATTTTCAGTTTTTTTCGTTTACTTTGAGTAGCAGCAAGTTCTGGTGTTATATACAATAATCGTGTTGTTGGTTGTCGTTGCATAAGATCTCCAAGTACAATTTTTTTTTCTTGTTGACTCAATGTTGAATTAAGTGTACGTGCTACAATATGTTTATCATTTAAACTTTTAACTTGATCTTGTATAAGTGCAAGTAATGGAGATATAACGATTGAAAGACCATCTTCTTTGTATACAGCAGGAAATTGATAGCACAATGATCTATTAAATATTATTTTTTTTTTTATTATGAATAATGATTTTAAAATAACTATTCAATATATATATATCATTATATGATAAAGAAAGTATTACGTCGATTTTAGTAAAATTTTCTCAATAGTTTCGATTGTTTTCATACATTAAAAATTATCAATGAAATACAAATATCTCTTATAAATCTTAGAAAGAAAAACAAAATAGTTTAATCCATAAAGAAACTAATTGTAGTAAAATGATTTGTTTCTATTTAAATCATATCAAAATCTTCGAAAATCAACTTTAATATATTTTGATGGAACATGAATAAAGATAATTTCTAATTCTATGAAAATCTTACATACTTTCCGGCACCGGTCGGAAATGATATAAAAACATCACTAGTTCCTATTGATGAAAAGAAACAAACAAATGTATATGTATTTTATTAAGATAAAAAGAAATTTTCAAACCATTAATAATTGATAAAATGGCTTTTTCTTGAATATCAGTTCGAAATTTTTCAAAGCCAAATTTTTTTAAACATTGTTTTACTTTTATTTCGGTCGCCATTGATTATTCATCTCATATTTGATATAAATCTAGTATAAATAAACAAAAAAAAAAAGAAAACTTCATCTAGTGAAAACTAAAAACTAAGTCATTTCAAATATGAACAAAAAAAGACAAGGAAAATCTTAAATAGTCAACTAAAAAAGAAGTCAGTATATACACATACATAAGACTTTCTTGTCGACTACGTAACATATATTTTGTTTTTGTTATTTTTTATTCAAATCTAAACGGTCATCAATTTAATCGAATCAGAAAGTTTTTATAAACAAAATAGCACCATCTATTAATAAATATGACTCATTTATTTCATGTAATAATACATCCAATTGGTTGAAATAAAAAAAACTATTGATGATCAATTCGTTTTCAAAAAAAAAAAGAAAGATGGCATAACATTTCTATGTATTACAAAAAAAAATGAAGTAAAATAAGGTCATCAGTATAATGACATAGCATAAGGAATTATGCAGTGTTTTATCCAGGATTTTTTCTCCGGAGGGGCGAGTTGAATTTCCGAGAGGGCAAGCCATGTATTCGTAGCACGATTATCACAAGTCTCGGGAGGGCGAACTCGATTTTCGGGGGGGACACCGGGCACCCCTCTGGATAAAACACTGGAATTATGTCTTTCATGTGACGAAGTTCCTTTCTATTAAATACAACAAGTGATTTTGACTTGTAATTCTTGTTTAAAACATTGAGCCCATCTTTTACACATGGCCTAGAGGTGCAATTGATGGAAATTTTTCCTTATTCAATAAATCGACATGAGTAATTTTTTGCTATTTGAAATCTATAATAGTCAAATCAATAACTTGTTTAGTCATATTTACATCTGAGTTAGTACAAAAATAACGTGAAACTTTGTTTATAGATATTGAAGTATTTCATAATAAAAATTGAATCCATCTATCTTGAAGATGACTTTGACAGACAATGTCAATATGTCTGTAATAACCTTATGAATTTCTCAACATCTTTGGTTTTAGGACGATAAATGATTCGATAAAATATGTTAAGCATATTTTTATGAATGTTTTCTCATATGAGTAATCATAAATTTCCCAAGATAAGCGATCCGACTGTCGAAATCCTGTACCCAGATTCGGACATAATCCGATAGGATCCTATCGGAAGACTTTGACCTGGGTTGTTGTAATAGAAAATTCGAGATACGGTTTTTTCGATCATTTATATGCAGTCATTAGCATACCAAGGAGTTTTCACCAAAAAAAAGTTTTTTTTTGATACTATCTTCAACTCTTTTACTGTGACTTTTTTTTTATGAAACTAAACAATAAACTTTTAAAAATATTTTTCATATGTATTACATAATAGTAATATTACAATAGGAAATTACAAAACAATTTAATTTACAATAATAAGTTTGAAAAGGAAAATTTTGTTTAAAAAAATTAGAAGAATCTTTACGCCTTGAATTTGTTCTTTTTTTATGTTTGTAGAAATTATTGTATACTTGTGTCTATTATTATTATCTAGAAATAACATTCATGTTTAACATAAAAAAACTACTCTTGACAATAAACGATGTGAACTATCAGAATTATGTCCAATCAGTACAGAATGTTAGGAATCTATATATGACTAACAGTTAAGGAATGAATAACTATATGTCTGAAATAGATTCGGTAGATCTCTTACAATACATTTTTATCTATGAAAATTTGTAAAAGATGAAGAAAGGATTTTGTTCACTTTCATATTTAGATTTGTATTTTAAACAAACAATAAGTTCTAACTAGTACATAGATTTAGAAATTAGCATTTGAAATTCTAGTCTATTAGTAAGAAAGATGTTTATCCCGACAATATATTATTAATTAAAAAGTAATGAAAAGAAAATTTATCCTTCGTGTTTATTTATCTGCTTCAATTTGTTTATTTTTCATTTCATTTTAACCGACAAAACAAATGATAAAATTTATTAAAGTAATTCTATTATATTTGTCTTCGCATCTCAGATATAAACAAAATTATTATACTTATTAAAAGTTCAATAAAACGATCGTTCTCTCAAAATTCAGAATAAGACAAATGAAACCATCCTGTGACAAAATTTTTAATTTGAGACATGAATTTGTTTTTTTTGTTCTATTTCTAATACAATCCTATTGCGACACCTTTTTATTGTATACTTATTTTGATAATGAACACTGTTCAGAAATCTTCGGATTGGAATATTGTTAGTTTCTCGTGCTTCATTATAAGTTTCACGTGATCTTCGGATAATTTTATAAACCACCAATACGATATATTCTTTTTTTTTCAATAGGAAGAATTCAAAAAAAAAACTAAAAGTTTATTCTTTTATTGACTACAGCTGTCAGATATCTAACCAATGAAAACTTCAGATTATTCTCAATGACTCATTTATTTAATAAGGTCAGAAGAGAGGAATTGATCAAACTCACGCATAAATCGAATATAATGTTTATTTACGTATTCATAAATAATATGAAAAGAAAAGATTATTTTTTCTTATCATTATAAAAAAAATACAAAACAAAACTTGTCATATGTCTGTAGAATCAATACGAACAAAATCAACATTTTTAATAAATCGAGAAAAAATGGTACTTAATAGTTCAGATGAACATGAAATATTATCATCAACAATGAATGAAGATAGTCATACACCATTATCAGAAACCGTGACTACATTAGCTAGTAATGTTTATAAAGAATTAGAACGTATTATTAAAAATTTTGGTGAAAATAGTGTTAAAGATTTAATGCCAGTTATGATCTCAACATTAGGTATAGACAAAATATTTTCTTTTTCTTGTATATAAATTTTCTTTTTTTTTGTTAGAATCGCTTGATAGTGCATTACATGAACGTGAAATAAATAAACTTGAAATTGAATCATTAAAAGAGCAAACTGAACAATTATATCAACAATATGAACGTGAAAAAAGTTTTCATAAAGAATATCAACAAGTATTGACTATTTATTTTTTGTTTATTTTCCATAAAAAAAAAAATTTTAATAATTAATATTTATTTTGTTTATTTTGTTAAAGCGTTATCTTCAAATTGAAGATCATCTTGAAGAAATAAAACGTGAAAATGAAGAAAAATTACGAAGTCTTGAATCAATTGTTAAAATTTTTGAAATTAAAGCACGTAATACATCAGATCATGTTGGAAGATTAGAAGATAAAGAAAATGAAATGAAACAAGAATATAAACGTTTACATGATCGATATTGTGAAGTAAAAAAAAAATCGTTTTTTTTTGTCATAGTTAATTTTATTAATTTTTCGAATATAGTTATTCAAAGTTCATTGTGATTATATGGAACGAACAAAAATTTTATATGGAACTGATCGATTAGATCAATTAACTACGAATGCAAATACAAGTTCTCAATCTTGGTTAGTCTCTATAAAATATATGATTTTTGGAATCTTTTAATATATTTGATAAAATTTTATAAACTATTTCCATTTGAGGTTTCTTACTCAAAAAAAATTTTTTTTTTTTAATCTCTGCAAAATTCACTTATAATTCAAAAGTTGTAGAAAAATTCTAGGCTAATATTCTAACAGAGCACTTTTGTTATAGAGTCATAAGTTTTACTATGTAACATTTTCAGTTACATTATCTCTTTTCAATTGTTACTAGTTATTCTATGATATTATATAGGAATACAAAATGAAAGATCGGAAATATATTATAATAAATTAGATTTACTCTAGAAAAAACAAAAATCTTCTTTCTAATAAACAGTTTATCGGAGACTACTTTCATTACTTTTTAATTTTCTTTTCTAATAATCACTAAACTATTTATAGTACATATCATCATATTACATATTTTAATACTATCAATCATCATATTTTACGCACATAAATGAACATCATCATATGAACTATTAAGTCCTAAATAAAATTAAAAATCATTTATTTATTTTTCGATAAATTTTTTCTTTGAACAAAATTTAAATAGATTTCAACATTAGGGATAGTAGGGGAGCCAGAACATCAACTCCTCTTTTGTTTTTGATGAGCAATGATAACCTCCTGTTATACATCATATTACCAATAATACATGATGATAATAGAGTAGCAGCACAAGAGACGAACTAGTGTTCTAATACCGTCATTGATTACTCTACTGATGATTTGTATTCAAAATAATACAACATACATTAATCTAGTTATGAACGTATAGAATAGCAGTGAAGAAAGCACATATATGATAAAACTATGACGATCTTAGATTCATTTCGACTATGTTGTTGAGCGAAAATCTATCTCTAGGTAAACAGCATTAAACCGTGAAAATCAACGAAACCTTCGAAGCTTTTCTGCGCTTGCTTAGGTTCGGTCGGAAGAACCACTTTTTTTGGTAGATTCATTCTGCAGGAATCCAGTTCTCGAAATAAAAAAAATTCAATTTGAGAATTCTGACTTGAGACTTGGAACACATAAAAGTCTTGATACAACCGTCTGATATATAAAGCCTCATCAGATTTGCATACCACACGAGTGAATCATTTGGAGATATTCTCTTGAAAGTCTATTCTAGAAAGAAAAAAATCGAAATCAACCCAATACAATCATAGTTTTATCATGCGTTCGCTAATTCGTCTAAACATATATATTTAAATCAGTACATTTCCACTCAACATGTCTTAAAGAATTTTTTTTTCATCGTTTTTAAATTTCTCTATTTGATATATTTATAGTGGAAATCTTCAATTATCGAATGAGAAACAAACCGATAAAATGGCTCCACATTATTCAGATATGTCTTCAACGTAAATTTTTAATCTATTCTTTTGTTTCGCAAAGAAATAATATTCATATTTAAGATCACCAAAACAACGTCATGTTGATAATAAATTTCAGTCTGAACTTGAAATTACCGATGGTAAACATACGCAAACAGAATCTATGACAAGTAATGATGTAGCTGTAAATACTGGTAAATATTTTATCTTTATTTCTTTCACTTTAATGAAAAGAATGAAAAGTTAATTTTTAATAATAATATAAAAGAGAATTGATTTTTATTCTTGTAAGTAAACGTTCTTTTTGTTTTTTGTCTGAAAAAGTTATTTGATAATATCTCTTCATAAATGATTGTATAATACATATCAATAATTTTTTCAGCAACATTAACAAAAATCTCAATGATGGATGAAATATCTTTAAAAGATTTTATATCAGGTGCGATAATTATTGTCAAATTGATTGTTGTCTAGTTGTTAGATTATTCTTGAGATGAGAAAGTAGCTTTTATTATTTTATTATCTAGACCATGATAAGAATTATCTTGAAAAGTATAAACGTGGTAAGATATGTTCATTTTCAACGAGCATGTACTTACAATTCCTCATGCTTTTTAACTAAATATTGCATGAGTAATATAAAAAGAAAAAAAAAACAAAACAACATTGAGTGTTTTTTTTTTGATCCCTCCCCATAAAACTAAATAAAAGATTGATAACTGTCTATGCTTTGCTTTTGTCTTGTATTTGTTTTTATATGTATTTGTATGTCTATGTTGCATGCTTCATAGGAATATTCACGAAATTGCGAAATCTCAATCTTTTATCGAAACCATTTGATGAACAACAATTCTTTGTAACTGAAGATGAATTTGAACAGACAAATAATAGTACAGGTGATCTATTTAATACAATGATAGATATATATTTCTCTATATAATAGAATAAAAATTTTACTGAACATATTTATTAATATTATTTTTAATTAGATGTTGCCGTTAGTGATGATGATGATGATGACATATCTGTAGATGATGCGTAAGTTGAGATATATTCATTTTGAATAAATATAAATTTTTTATTTTATATAGTAAAAATTCAGAAGCATTTGATAAAGAAACTCGAAATGATAATATTGATATATCAGATGTTGATGCATCGGCAGATTTATTTGGTAGGTTACAAATAAATTTTTAAATTGTTAATCTACAAAAATTTTCCTTCTTGTATAGTTCGACAAAGTTTTTACGGTGAGAATCTATATTGTAAAGTTTGGGGCACCGAATTTTCTTTGCTTTTATATATTAATAATGTTATGTAAAAACAAAAACCTATTTTCTAATAATTTATAGGCATGACAAAAGAAGTTTCAAATTTAATCAAAGAAAATAATGAACTATTGGAAACAAAGTATATGACAAATGAATAATATGAATAAATAAAATTTCCTTTTATTTTATTATTATTAGAAATGCATTAAATGTACTTAAAGATGATTTATTAGCAAAAATTGAAGAATTATCCAAGTGAGAAGAAAAAAGAAAAAGAATTATTTTATTAAACTATATATATATCTTATATATAATATTAGTGACTTAGAAATAGCACGAGAAGAAGTTGATTCATTACAAACAGTTCGAAGTCGATTACAATTAAGGTGATTAAAATTCAGTTTTCTTTTTTTCTATTAGATAAATAATAAATTTAATATTTGAAATTATTAGAATAACTGAAATTGATGAAGAATTTCGAAAAACACGTGAAGAACTTGAAAAGAAAAAAGAAGAAGAGGTAAGTTGATTTGAAAGACAACAACAAAAATAGAAACAAACGATAACCATCTTATTGCATGCAAAAATCTAACGTAGAATATTGATCTGTAAGTGAATAAAAATTTTCACAGAAAATAAAATTAAAAAAAATTCAAGTTTTCGTTTTGTTTGATTCAATAATGATTAATGCTTTTGCTTTTATATAACTTAAATAATAATGCATGTTTGAATTTTTTTTTCTTAATTGATACATATTTCTCAGGAAAATGTACCGAATGAAGATAGAAAGCGTTTTACACGAGTTGAAATGCAACGTGTTCTACTTGAACGTAATCAATATAAACAACGTTTATTTGAACTTGAAGAAGCTATACATCGACATGATGCTTTACGTGCATCACGACATGAACAATTATATTCATCATCAACAATAAATACAATTAATGATAATCTATTTGATCAAATACAAAACAAAAATAGAACAATGTTCTTAAAACTGTGAGTCAATAAATATATGTTGTATTAGTATAGAGAGAGAGAGAGAAAAAACAGTCATAGAATAATTTATTTTATATTACTTCTTGTTTTCGCATTCTATCAATCTGTTCGGTACATTTTTCATTTGATTTAACCTACTTATATAGTTACTAACCAATGCATGATATTAATTTGGCATATGAATATTAACAAAAATATGATTATATAAATATATTTTTCCTTATAGAAACCTTTATTAATAAACAAAGGAACACAAACAGCAATACATGATCAACAAACAGTACAAGAAAATTTGTCATCTACATCAATAACAAATTCTTCAGAAACTACATCAATAGAAAATTCTTCAGAAACTACATCTACATCGAAATCTTTGTGGCGTATGTTCAGTGAAGACTGGCTACCCACATCGATTGTGCCCACAAATATATTGGGCGTACCTGTTGTCGATATTCAGAGTGATTTGAGAGAGGGTACAACACAAATTTCTGAGTTGTAAGAATAAAAAAAAAAAAAAAGAAAGCAAAAAATCTTTTTTTTTCTTTTGTTATTTAAAATCAATAAAATATATTCATGATGTTTTTTTTTTCTTTCTATTTACTAGTTTTTCGGGTTTATTTGGCAGTACTGCTAAAGATACCTCACCTAAACGTGCAATTACTACAACTACTACAACTAATTTATCAACAGCGACTGAAACTTCTATGAAACATAGTTCAATCAATGATGATCAAATTGGATCGACTATTACTACAAATAAAAATACACCTTTAGAACGATCAATTAATGAAAGGTTCGAGAAAAAAGTTTACAAACGAAGTTTCCCAACTGATTAACTACTTTAGACTAGATAGATCTTATACAATGTTCTTGTTTCTCTCAGGTATATTAGGAAAAATTAATGGCTCTGGAACATTGATATATTTTTAAAAATCAAATATTAATCAATTGAGAGACTTCCATATGCTTTTGTCATTATTTTAAATTTTTGATTTTATTGCAAATAAGATTTTTGTTTTTTTTTAAATTTGATAGTGCTGCTGTTGATCTATTGCAAAAATCTGTAGCAACACATCATGATAATTCAATTGTAAAGGATGATGATAATCGTTTTCAAGCATATGATTGGATTTTACCATCAAAAAATCATTTGAAAATATCTAATATTAATGGTAAAATTCAAGTTAATGTACCTGTACCAATTTATAATCAATCAATATTTAATACAAATGACACAACACAAGTAAAAAAAAAAAAAAGAACAAAAATTAATTTTAATTAAAATAATTTTCATTTAAAGATTTGGTGTGCTGTTGGTATTGATCTTAGTGGATTATCATTAAATACTGATGAAACATCAATTGATCAATTAAATAAACAATTAATTGAATCATATCATCAAATGATTGATGAACAATATTTAAAATTATCATCATTAATTTGGATAGCTGCTAAATCAAATAATACAGCTATGATTACAATTATTGATTCAAATAAACCAGATAAAGTTATTGATATATTTCCATTAGGAAATATTATTATTTATGCAATTGGTAGTGTTCCAGGTATAAGAAAAATGTTTTATTCATTTCATTAATGAAATATCTTTAGGTACATCAAGTACAGATTATCCATCAATTGATAATTTGAAATTGAATGAGAAAACATCTACAAATGGTAATACAAAAAAAAATTAAATTTTATCTAAGATAATATTGACAAAAATTTTAGATGTAAATGTAATGTCTTGTACAGCAGCATCACTTGCTACTGGTGGAAGTAAAGTTTTTTTTTTCTTTCTATACTTCTTTTTAAATAGAATATTAATTTCATATTTGTATAGATCGTTCGAATACTACTATTGAAACATCATCTGAAAAAATTCGTTCTGATGTATCTCATTCAAGTAAGTCTTTTAATTACAATTCAAAATATACAATGTTTGAGATTCTAGTTATTCAAGTAAAATTTTGTTGATTTGTCTTGTTTTTAAGTTTTATTTACTATGAAAACGAGAATAAGACGCATCTTTGAAGATTGAATCGTTCGCTCTAGAGTTTGTAGTTAATGTCCTGTATGAACGAGAATTTTCGTACCCGACAGATACTATCACTGTCATAGTAGAGATTTCAAACTTTATGAAAATCTATACTATTTCGTGTCTTCTATAAAAAAGCAATGAAGAAGCAAATGATTCTTTCAGCTTTTGAAATCCGATTAATTTCGCCGAATTTACGTTCAGTTGAATATTTCATTTTTATGAGTTACTGTTGAATACTAGAAATATTTATTTTTTTAGGTGTCGATGAAAACAAAACAAAATATCCAACTGTTTGGTTAGGTTCAAGTGATGGATGGTTAGTAAGAGAAATTCTTTATTATTTTTGTTTTGTTTATGTAATTGAAAGAAAATTTAGGTTATATATTCATTCGACTATTGGTGAACATCGTACAACGATTGGAAAAGTTTGGCTTCGTCATGCAATTTATAGTATTGTGTAAGATAAATATCAATGAATTTAAATTCAAATATTTCTTTTAATTAAAATTAGTCATGTTCGTGGTCGTGTTTTTGTTTCATTGGCAAATGAAAAATTAATTGTATTTCATCGTAATATAGGTAAAATATTATTCTGAAAAATAAATAAGAAAATAGAAAATTATTAATGTTATTTCTTTTAAGATGGTACATGGAATTTAAATAATTTTCATTTAATTATTACTGGTAAAAGTCGTGAATCTATTCGATGTTCTATTAATGTTAGAGATTCCATATGGTGTGGTGTAGCTAATCGTGTTTATGTTATTGATGTTCAAACATTAGAAATTCGTGTATGTTGATTTTAGATTGAATATTTAATATTGAATAGAATTTTTTTTTTTGTTTTATTAATATTATTAGAAACAATTTCAAGTTCATTCACGTTCAGAACATTCCGTTCAACATATAACTTGGTCTGGTGATGGTGTTTGGTTATCTGTTCGTTTATCGAGTACTTTACAATTATATCATGCACAAACATATCAACATTTACAAGATGTTGATATACAACCATATATTGAAAAAATGATTGGTTAGTTTCAAAAGTTTCTATTTTGATACTAAAATTTAATTTTCATTTACATTTATTATTGTAGTAACAGATAAAACTGGACTTCATTTTGTTCATATAAGTGCATTGACAATTGCTTGTCGTCGTTTATGGATTGGTACTGGTAGCGGTATTATTATTTCTATCCCATTGACAGACAGTAAGTTTTTCACCCTTTAAGATGAAAGTAGTACTGGTATGGATTTAAGATCGACTAGTCTGGTTTGCTCTTCACCTTTCCCTTTCAAAATCTTGAATACTGTAAGATAAATGCTTCATCGAATATGTATACATTAGGAATTAATATCATTTTGAGGGTTCTTTTTCTTAAAGTGGATTGTCGGGCTGAAAGAATACAAGTGTATGTGTGTGTGTTTGTTAAAAGTCTTTTTACTTTACGTATGTATCAAGACTAGAGGAGGAAGAAAATCTTCAAAAAGAACAAATTTTTCCAGTCGTGATGGTTGAATGTCATTGGAGATTCGAAACGAAGCAAAAAAGCAAATCTTTCACGATGATATTGAAAATTATTCTCGATCAAACTAAGAATTGATTAGGACGATATTGTTGAATTTTCAATATGTAATTTGATAGTTGGTTTTAAAAAGAAAAAAAATAATTAGAAATTCATATTCTTGAAAACTTTTCATTCTTTTCGAAATTTTTATAGTAGTTAGTTAGTTATAAGAATATTTTATTTTCAGGTATTGAAACAACTTCTAATTCAACATCAACAAAACCTGGTTCTGTTGTTCGTATTTATGATCAAATATCATCTTCAAATTATATTCCTTATTGTAATATCAATAATGCTCAATTATCATGTCATGGATATAAAGATGCTGTAAAATTTTTTGTTGCGGTACCTGGACAAGCACCTTCAAAATTATATCATGAAAATGAAATGATTTCAGAATCGTTAACAACACTTTCATCAACAGACACCACAAGTTCATCATTTGGTGATATTCTTATTGTTAGTGGTGGAGATGGTTATATTGATTTTCGTGTTAAAACTACAACAGTAGATAACAATGATGACGCAACTAATAGCAAGAGACATGCATCACATCTTATTGTTTGGCATATGGGTTCTGCTTAAATTATAAATATTTTATTTTTTGAATCTCTTATAGATTTTTATCTTATTAAAGCAATTGAAACATTTTCATTGGTAACAGTAATGTAATATTAATGTAGCAAACTCTTTATAATTATTATTTATGATCTGATTGTTTTTCTGCTTTCTTGATATATAATATTGTTTATTCTTGTTGTTTTATTGTGTTCATATTTATCTAGTTTGTTCAAAAAAGATCTATTTCTTATTTTGGATGTTTTTGAACATCTTTTAACAAATCATGATATATCGTGAAAAGAAAAAACAAAAGTCTTTTTTTCTATGCAATTGAATGAATCAATAGTAATTGTTCAATACATTTCAAATAACATATATTTAAAACTTGATACAAGGAATACATTACAATTCGACTAACTATTCTATGTTTAGTCAATAATGCGTTATAACACGGAAATATCAGCAATATATGTATATATTTTGTGACATGTGTCAAGTAAAATTTTCGCTTATGTTTCGGCAAAGTATATTTATTTCATTTAAAAATAGTTCAATCATCATCATTATAAATTATGCTGAGCAAGTTTTGTATCATGCATTTCATGTTGCTGTATTAATTTTATGTGAGGGTGTTGCTGTGAGTCTGGCTGTCAATCACACCCGCAGTTACCTTCGTAAAGTTTTATAACTGTTTTAATTTGAATCTTAACAATTTATATCAACTTTACATAGTGATTCCACTATCGATCTGTATCACAATTACTCTGTGACAATATCTATTTGTACCTCTTTAGTTAATATGTGAACACCATTCAATTTTGATTTGATTTTAAACTATGACAAATAAATGTAACAAAATCTGAATTCGAAGAGTAAAGGATATACATTTGAAATATTTAGTATTGTTGAAAACTTATATTCATTCCGGAGTTTGACGATTTCTTGCATTTTTCAAAGTAACTTGAAACAATCGCAGCTTAAGAGTTCGAGTTTTCAATACTGATTAGAGTCGACACTATTCTATCTGTCTACATTGTCAATTAACTTATTCTGTTATTTTTCATTTTGTACATGTGGCCAATTTTAAGATACTATTTACTTGACCTGAGGAAATACTGGCGTCGGGTTTGGGTAGACGAAGAGAAGAACGATCCACCCATCTTCACCCATATCTCACAATTACATACTTTATTCACACTTTTCGACAGTAACTTTCTTATACTGTTGGAAATCGATGTTGTCAAATTGTATCCAGCAAGTTCTCAGCTTTTTATTGATGATCAAAATAAAACTGACCTACATCGACCCCTATTTCATACAAACCAATATATGCTTTGGATTTTTTTTACTGTTCATGAGAAATGACGTCGCATAAACGTAACACATTTTACACAACCATCGATATTCGAAGTTGGATTTTTCCAACTTGGCTCATTTTTTTTTCAATTCTTATGAATTTGTAAAAATAGCAACTATGTTTGAAATCATTGTGAAGCAGCTGATTGCACTTTTACGTTGTTTGAAAAATCTGCGCAATTCTATGATGACTTCCTTTTTGCAATTGAATTAATACACTTCTAGAATTTTATGTTTTATAGTAATGTAGGGACGTTCATCTTCTTTTATATGTAAGATATTTTATGTAGTAAGTAGACTAAGACAAAGATGAACAAATAGCCAAGCTTTAACATTTTATTGTAAGCATTTCGATTCACTTCACATTGTAATCAGAAATATTATCGGTTCAATTGCACATTGCTTTTACACCTAATTGCAACAAAGTTTCTCTAATTTTTCAAAATTTTTTTCCTTTCATAGTTTGATATGTGTACAATTAAGCTGTGTTGCTATCAAAGTGAATACTAAAGATATACAGAGTTATCATACTCTAAGGTTCAGCGTAGGATAGGATAGGGTAAAGTATGGATGAGAGACTAATTAGTCATAGTAAACGTATATGTTTATTCGGTTCATTGACCATCCTTATAGCACCATAGAAAAATGATAATTTTTAGCAACATCTTTCACACATTATTACTAAGATGGGTCCATATTCATGTTGATCGGTACAGCCATCAGTATGCTTGCGGCACTACACCTCGATACATCTATTGTTGTTACGTGAAATTCATCCGCTGAATCCGCACTTAAAAGTGTATCTGAAGTATAACGACTGCATGTCGTGAACTGCATTGAAACGCTTTAGTTATTATTTTAATGGTTGATCTCTGCAACTCTTTCATACATTTGGTTTTCAATCCATTGATTAGCGCACTCTTTTTTACCCATTTAATTGAGATGAAATATTAGTCACCATTGTTTTAAATTATCTTCCTTTCTATGTATGACTAAACTTATTTAAAAAAATAGATGCAGAAAAAACTTATGCGATGCATATTAAACAACAAAATGGAAGCAACATGGTTTTATTCAAAAACAAAGTTCATTCGAATGAATGTTTAAATTCCATTTGTGATAGATATTATCAATGATATACAAATTGAAAAGTTAAATAGAACACTGTTTGCATTTAAACTATGCACTGCGAAAATTAATTGTAAATGATCTTCATTGAAATACAAAGAATATATTAAATTAATGTTATTTTAATTTAACACAATCCATGCGATGCGATCATCTTAGAAAAAGCTTTAATATATTGATTTTCATGTGCATTCATCTCCCAATCAATGCACTCGTTGATCTTTTCATTATGTGCTGCCAGTTTTTTTCTGTTACTTGTTTATTTTGCTACACAAGTAGACCTGTTTCACATCGAACTGTATGATTACTCAAGTTTATTTTTCTCTTCCTTCTATGTATTGCGCAGTATGGAACAAAATGACGAAACAAAATTTCGATTTTGTTGATCTGGAGTGTGGATGTGAACTCGTGGGTGAGTGAACAAATAACACCTATACATCTGTAGAAACATGCATACTCACTCACGCAATCATTCCCACACCCATTTGAATAAACTTTCTAGCTCTCTAAGTTTCCGAGATAATTGAAAAAAAGTGTTTCAAAAACGTAACAGCGTTACCTTTGGACAAGCAAATATGAAGAATAAATCAATATTATGTTAAAACTTCATATAAAAATTACAGTCTCATCTAAATAGACACCAAATGATTTCTTTGTTTGACTACGCAGTACTGAAAAACAATCCTTTTGTACACAACATGTATTTCAGATATTGTTAACCTCCTAATTAATAAAAATCATGTCTAGCAAAGCAAGTCAAACAAAAGTTCCTCCTACCGACAACACTGAAGTGCATGAAATCAGCTCACTCATTCATGAAGCCAATGTACGTCTATGTCGATTACGTCTTTGGCTTAATCGGCAAGCAATAGGTTTCCAAATTTCACCCTCTTCTAGTTCACCTCCTGTCATACGTATGGTTGAATCTAACAGTCCAGCGTCAGCGGTTGGCCTTCAAATCTGTGATGCTATTCTTGCTATCAACAATCAGAATGTATCTGAAGCGAATTTTCAACAAGTCACAGCGGCTATAAAAACTGCGCTGGATACCAAAGGTGGCGTTGATTTACTAGTTGTACAACAAAAATTCTATAAGGAATTAAGGAAAAAAGATATATCAATGATTTCTAGCTTGGCTAACGTACTCGTTACACCATCTACTATGCCTGCTGATTTCCTTAATTTTCCTAAGCATCAACCACGAACTTGTGACATTCATTTAAATAAGAATAACAAAACATTTGGCTTCGAGGTCGTTAGTGGAGATGATGATATTGGCATGTATATTCAAGAAGTCACTCCAAATTCACCAGCTAGCGATGCTGGCTTACGTAAAAGTGATCGAATTATAGAAATTAATGGCACTTACATAGAACAAGATTCCAGTAAATCTATAATGAAAAAGATTGATGAAGCTACAGAGAAAAATACTTTAAGATTTTATGTCGTCGACACGGAAACTTACGAATATTACAAAAAAAACAATATGGACCTGCACTCGATCAATAATAAAAAAATACAGTGTTTGCAACGTCAACAAGCGACGACTGTGCAGAATAGTAAGTCTCATATAAATCGTAATTCATTATGATGATTGAATTGATATTTTTGAATTTATTGTTTTTTCTAGAAGTCATATTTGATAAAAAAAAGAGAGTGATGATATTGTTTTGTATTGTGCAGATATTAGTCAAAGTCTACGAGCCAGTGTATAGACTATCTATATAGTTGTATAAAAAAAATATGTGAAAATAATTTAAATTGGTTTTTGATAGACCTGATTTCTTATCGAAATCAATACACCCATCTAAGTGGTTCATTACTTATCTTTTTTTCACTGTGATATGATGAGATCAAGACTAAAAAAAGAACTGTCTGTAGAAATTGAAATACCCCATATATCCTAAACAACATAAAGCTCATCATCGGATAAGATCGTAAATCTGTTACTCCTACATCTTCTTTTTCAATAGCTTCCAAAGATAGGACATGGCATTCTGCTCATTTCCATGTATTTATTTTGTTGCTTCTTGCATGCAACAAAAGTCTATCGAAAACTAAACAATCCTGATGATCTCACACTTTTGGGTATTTCGAATAATAAGTATAGCATCCATAACATGTTCTTTTATAAATCCATTATGAAAACTAACAGTACATATCAAACCAGGTTTTCATACTCTACAAAATGATATATAGATGCGATTTTTAATAGTTTTCATAGTGATGCTTTTGTATTTAAGAACCGAATTAGTACTATAAAACTTTATGTTCAAAACCTGCGTCGACTTATACTCTATAAATCTAGATAACTTTGTAAAAAATCTATTCTGTTCTAAGATTTGTTTTCACCAAAAGATTGTTATAAGGTGAGTATTCTGAAAATGCTATTATAGTCAATGTTGACTAGTTGAACATTGAGTATTTAGTCTAAGTTCAAGTTCAGATCTAAATAAATATCATACTAAGAATTAGCACAAAATAAAACTAGGTCACAACATATTCATTCCATCAAAAATAATTTTTTTAAAGATAAGCGCATCTCAATGGAACCACAGGCACAACTTGTCAATATAACTTCTGAGGGAGAGCACATCGATTTTTCTCTTTAAAAAAATTATTTTTAATGAAATGAATATGTCATGATGTAGTGGTCGAGATGGGGTATATTAGTATTTCCAAAATGGTCACCTTATTACAATCTTTCAATGAAAACGAATCTTAGAACAGAATAGACTTTTTTTTTTACAGAACTATATAACCTTATAAAGCATGAGCCAACGCAGATTTTGATCATAAAGTTTTATAGTACTAATTCGGTTCTTAATTACCAAGGCATCCTATGAAAAGTATTAAAAGTCATCTAGATTATATGAGAATTGTATCTAGCACATCCATTTGATCTTGGATTATCTATAAGAGAAGTTTACGGTAAACGAAAACTAAATATCATTTTGTAGATCATGAAAACCTGATTTTATATGTACTGTTAGTTTTCATATTGAATATATACAAGAACATATTATGGGCACTATATTTATTATTCGAAATACCCAAAAGTAATAAACGTTCAGGATTGTTTAGTTTTCGAAAATTTTTTGTTGCATGTCATAAACAATAAAATAAATACACAGGCATGAACAGAATGTTATGCTCTATCTTTAAAACCTATTAAAATCGTTTCATTATCATAATAGTTCGTTGTCTGAAATACAATATATTAAAAGCTATTGAAAGGGATTCACTATGTATTCTTAACGTTCAAGATATTATAATCGAATAATACATGACTAAATGAGAAAAGGTCAATTAAAAGATGAATGTTTATCATCTATAAATATATAGTACTGTCAAAGGCCAAAAAGTAAATGTCGATTGTCGGTTAGTACATTCGACCCTAAATATCTTAGCTAATTTTTTCAGTTGGTCTGTTGAGTAATTACTAAACTATTCGTGAACAGAGACGTATTCTCATTTTTTGGGTGACATTCTTAGACGACTCTGAAAATCATGGATGTGTCCAAAGGAATAAAGATAAATTAATCAGCAAAAAAAGCAACGATGGTATGGCCTATGAAAGTTACGATAGTAAAAAAACTGATATTCCTATTACCATTCAACATAATCATCGTGATCAATATGAATTTCAAAGCTATGACATTAACCAAAATGTAAGACGTCACAAAATTATTCATAAAAATATGAAACACATCCATATTTTTGTATAGAATTGCAATCACTCGCGAAAAAAACTACCACAGATTCGTGCTAAATCGTGCATTAACTCACGTACTATCTCTGTTGTTCGTCAAACTTTAAAGGAAGTAGCTGTAGTCCAATTGCAAAATTGTTCTATATATCAAGAAAGACTAGATTCTCCAGCGTCATATCAATCACTAACTGATTTGACTGAATCGTATCAATCTTCGAATACCTACTCATTGTCAACAACGAACAGTAAGTACTGAGCACTTATAATTCTGATATTTCATGAATAAACTGTGATTTATCTTAAAGGTGGTAATGTGTGTAGCGAAAGAATTCATGTTTGTTTCGGAGACCTAACAACACAAAAGGTAATACACTGTCAATCAGCTTTATTTATTTAATAATTCAATACTGTTGTTGACCAACGTTTGAGAAAAAAGTATATAATCAGAAACAAAATTCATACAGTATAAAAGAAGATTTTTGCGGACGTCAGATATAACACTCATTTCGCTATTTCGATCAGATATAACAGTTACAGAATATACCCGAGAAAGTCCAAAACTCTTAACTTTTATAGATGTATTCATGATCAGGATTTTTGAGAAAGAACTGTGAATTACTTGATTCTTGATTTGTCCAGTTTGTTGACATCATATTACTTTTCAACAATATGAAAGAATTCATATCATTCTCTAAATTACAAACAAACAGTCAATCAATGGAAGTCTGCAACACCGATATTAGAAAGGAGCATCTTGAAGTTTGTCAACGCTTTGAATTCAGAAAACCTATCGGTCCCTCTCTTGATATTAATGCAAGAAAGATTAGGTACGACTTCTGAGGAACATTTATCTAAAAAGATAAGGAAATCATTGCTCACATGATGAATATGTTTTATTGAGCAATATATTTTGCTCTGATGGTCACTATAACTAATAACTGTGATCTCTCATTTATCTGTTTCCTGGTAGTGCTCTTATAAGATAGTTCCTGAGATGATATTTAATCTGTGCAGTGTGATATAAGAGCTTTTATTTCACAGGTGGACGCTATTGTTGTTTCGACTGCATCTACATGTCTAACTGACAATATTCTTGCAAGAGCTGGACAATCTATCAAACAAGAATATCTTCGAAAAAGAAATCGAAGTTCGGGTCGATCAATACGTGTTAATGGTGGGCATTTAAATTGCAAAAGAATTTATTTTATTCCATGTTCTGAAATGTCGAGAAATGCTGACAAATGGATATTCAGAAATTTTGTCTCTGAAGCTCTCACATTGGCAAATAATGATATAGAAACGACTATTCAATCAATAGCATTTCCAACAATCGGATGTGGTAAATACCGTTGTAGTCCAACCTTCATAGCGAAAACATTAATAATGGCGGTTGCATATCAACTAGAGAAAAATCCTTCATTACAACTTGATATTTATTTTGTTATCCAGTCGCATCAACAGAACGTTTTTGATGCTTTTCAAAATGAGTTAATGACATTAAAAAATAACCAATTACCTTCTAAAACTAATCGACTTATTACCATTCCGAAACATATACCATTTGAGCCTAGAAAGTGTCATCAAAATAAAGACTTTGTGATAGAAAAACGTCTGTTGGATGATTCTGATACTAAATACACTGCGGTTGTGAATGAGTTTTGGAAAGTAATGGCCCAAAATTTGTGCACCAGAATTGTACGTGTTGAACTCGTTTGGAATGAGCGTTGGTACCAACAATATATGATTCATAAAGCGGAATTTTCGGAACGCCTGCAACGAGACACTGAGAAACGTTTGTTTCATGGATGTCCGGAAACTGCAGCAAACAATATTATAAGAGAGGGTTTTAATCGAGGTTATGCAGGTCGACATGGTAAGTATCAGACCGACAGAAGGGTACCCGTGTGCATTCACGTGTTGACGGGGAGGACATTTTTGGAAAACTGTAGGTTATAGACAAGTTCTTTTCTATCAGAAATCATAGGAATAGTTTATTTTTTGTAGAAATAAGGATACGAAGTTCATATAAAGATTTTGTGAGTTATTTCCCAATCGAGGATAGTACAACTGACTTTTTTTTTGTTTGAAGGGTCATTCAATGTAGGCCTCTTTCAATCTGCTAATGTCTAAATTTTGTTATGCTAAAACGTTGTCGAAGTAAACAAGTTTCAAGACTACCACGATTCCTCGATTGGAGATGAAATTGAATTCTTTTATTCCATTAAGCTGTTTAAGTGTAGTAGTTTTTATTTCCTTTCTTAGCTCGTTTTTTTTTACTACAAGGAAAATTTTCGTTTTAGCGGCAGACTCTTCATCTTTGAGAAGTATAGACAAATCAGTTACGTCTTTTGAACCTCAATACTTTCATCGAAAAATTCAAATAGTATGTTTTCATATAATAATTGTCAAACTTCTTTTTTTACGAAACACGAAATCTTTCAATGAAAATAACTTTCAACAGTGTGACAAAGAAATTTTAGTACGCGCATGAGCAAATACAATATTGAACTATTAGTTTAAGATAGAGCAGCACTGCATCTAGAATTAGATGATATTTGTATTTCACTCGTCCGAAAAATATTGCACCAAGATTTGACTGCTGGCTATCAAAACATCAACAAATACGTTGAAAACAAATAATCATCTTCATGCATGAGCCTGAAGCATGACTTTATAATGAAACATTTGAAGTTTATTGGTATTGATTTTCCTTCGTTATTAAGCTATCGAGAAAAATTACGCTTCGATTAATTAATTGAAGCTGAAGAAAAATTGAAAAGTAGACATAATGAAATTCATCACTACGAGAACCAGGGTGTGGGTGTGGGTGCGACTGAAACAACACATTCACCCGCACCCAATATCACAACGTTTAAAAACTCTGGTGGTCAAAAGTATCTTTTTTGGGTGATCATTTGTATCTAAAATTGTGTGGTGATCAAAACTATTTTTTTTGCGTCAGACTTGTATCTTAAGTTATTTCGTGATCAAAAGTATTTGTTTTTGGTGATCAGAAAAATAGCCACCCCAATCAATGTGTTAAAGTCACGGTAGATATATGCATAATATTTACGCTTGTTGCTTATCATTTAGGTATACGCTTTGGTTGTGGTGTTTATTTTTCGTCAAATCCAAGCTATAGCCATTCTTTTACAGTTCCCAACTCAAAAGGACAACGATGTATGTTTTTGGCACGAGTTCTCATCGGAAACACAATATTGGGTAATTCTTCAATGAAAACTTGTCCATCTGGATCTGACACCACAACAGATGGAGACCATATATATGTCACTTATCATGATGCACAAGCATTTGGAGAATATCTGATCACATACGAATAGTTATGGGATAAATGACTAATTTTCAAAAAAAAACAGCAGTTTTTCTTTTTGTTCAATTTTCCAAATGTATTATTTTCTTCATGCTTTTTGTTTTTCCAAGATTCGAAAAAATTTTGAAAAATGAATATTATTAGTATTATTGACGCTTTGAATGATGGTGCTATCAGAACATATGTTCTAGAAAAAGTTGAGACATAGCCA